CTAGATGCCAAAAACATCATCCGAGCCGATAGAGCAAAAGCCATAGTTGCCAAACTGCATGTAAATACCGGTCATTCAACCAATGGCCAGATGATGCGCCTCGCCAATCGTTGTGCTGCATCCGAGCAAGTGAAGCAGGCCATAAAGAACTTCAAGTGCTCCGTTTGTGATGAGTTGAGACCTCCTGCCATAAACCGGAAGGTCACCATGCCACATGTTGAACAACCCAACAAAATGGTAGGATTGGTAGGTCTTGATTTTGTCCAAGTAGAACTGATTCGTGATGATGAGAACGGAGAGCAGGAGGAGCAGAAGTTCAACGTTTTGACCTGTGTTTGCATGGCCACCGATTTTTGTCAGCAAGTGGTCATTCCTGAAGGAGCCGGTGCCTTGTCTCAAGCCTTCCATGAAGCCTGGATTAGACCATATGGTGCACCCGAAACCGTGTACATGGATCCAGCCTATATGACACTCTCTAAGGACTTTCAAGCTTACTTAAACCACCACAACATCCAGCTGTTGCACTGTGCAGCCGAGTCCCATTGGCAGCTGGGAAGACTTGAAGTTGCGAATAGAGTTTTACGTGGAATGGCTCAGCGCGTTTGGAGATCATCGTCAAGACCGCCAAAGGAGATCATTGAAGCTTGTTCGTCCATGAGAAATCAACTGTTGAGAAAATGTGGATATTCCCCATGTCAATGGTTCCTAGGTCATGATCCGAAGATAGCAGGTTGGCTAGGCGATGTCTCCGAGCAACAGAATTATCCGGTCCAATCTCAGGTTTTGAGTGATCCATCGTTTGCTGCAAAGATCCAACTCCGAGAAGAAGCTGCTCGGGCATTTATTGCTGAACATGCCAAGGAATCATGGAGAAGAGCATGTGCCGGTAGGAACCGTCCACTGAGAGGTCCATACCAGGTAGGTCAACTTGTTTACATGTTCCGCAAACATGGCCGTGGTAGTTTCAAGACTCGTTATGGGGTATGGCATGGTCCGGGTAGAATAGTTGGAGTTGAAAGTTCCACCAACCATTTCATTCCTCGAGTTGTTTGGATTGTTTACAATGGTTTCATTTACCGGTATTCCCCTGAAGCACTTCGCCCTGTTCCTGATGATGAAGCTGAATTCCGGGAATTAGCTAAAGATCTAGCTGAGGGGAGATTGCACCCTGATGTGATCAAAGCTGAGCAATCTGTTTCCGGTTATGCGGGGAGTTATAAAGATATGATTGATGAAAAACCCACTGAGGATGACATGGAACTTCAATCAGATCTAGATGATGATGACAGGAACCCCCAAAGAAAAGGAGAGAAGCGTAGCATAGAGGGCGAAGATCAGATCAGAAGGGTCCAAATGAGGATTACTAGGTCATCCAGTCACTGGCAGAAACGTGCATCCGGCATGCCACCATTAGGAACACTTCATGAAGGTGATGCCCCACCACTGGTTTCGCTTGAGCAGCCATCATCCAAGCGTCTCAAGACAGTGCCAGAGCAGCCTCAAGAGGAGAGAGCCGCGAGTGTTTCTTATGAGCCGTCCATAGCACCATCCGTACTGGATGATGAAATGCCAGACCAGGCACTGCCAGCAGATCCCAGTGCCGACAGCCAAGTAATCCCCCATGAATCTTTAGACCCTGAAGATAATCCACCTGAAATTAGTCCTAATCCCGATCAACCCCAAGAAGATAATGTGTCACCAGCACCAGAAACAGCAGCAGGACCAGCAGCCGAAGAAAATGGTCCACCACCACACATCGAAAGCGATGACGAAGGGTTGATAGCTGAACATGGGAATGTAAAAGTACCAACACTTGATGTGCTAGAAGTATCACTGGATATTCACCCCGAAGATATCACCGAAAATCCCTTGTGTTTATGGACAGTTTTAGATGAATGTTTGGTTGCAGCCCCCACAAAAGCACAAAAACGTAGGGTAGAAGTTTCCATGCGAAAACTTAGCGAACCAGACAAAAAGCTGTTTGAAAAAGCCATGCAAAAAGAATGGCAATCATGGGTTGAAAATAAGGTGATGTCCCTAGTGAAAAGTAGGGGGATAGATCCAGCCAAGGTGATAAAAGCGAGATGGGTACTAGTTTGGAAGAAAAGCAGTGATCCCGATGACAGAACTAAGACCCCAAAAGCACGCCTTGTTCTTGTTGGTTGGCAGGATCCAATGTTGGGTAAGATAGCCACAGATTCCCCAACACTTAGAAAGGAATCAAAGAGTTTGGTGTTATCCATTTGTTCATCCAAAAAGTGGAAACTATGGGGCGCTGATATCAAAACAGCCTTTCTTAGCGGTGATGCCTCAACTAGAGAGTTGTACTTTAAACCCCCAAAGGAAATTCAGCAGTGGATGTCCCTAAGTGATGAGGATTTGTATAGACTAGAAAAAGCAGCCTATGGGTTAGCTGAGGCCCCCAGAGCCTGGTTTCTCCGTCTGTCCCGCGAAATGACAGAAGCAGGTTTAGTCCGGTCAAGCCTCGATCCTTGTTTATTCACCCTTCGAAGAAATGGGGAACTAAAGGGGATTTGTGGTGTTCACGTAGATGACTTGCTGGGAGGAGGGGAACCCGAAATGGATGAAGTCTTGCAGAAACTCCGCAAAAAGTTGCCATTTGGGGATTATAGGACGTTCACCATAAGATATACAGGGATAGAGATCCGACAAAACCCCGAAAACTTCAGTATCGAGATAGGCCAAGAGTCCTACATAGATGCACTGGAGCCTGTTGCCACAAAACATCTTGGGTCAGCTGGAACGAGTTTGCAAGACCCTGGAATCTTGCGTACGTGTGCTGGTCAACTTGCTTGGGTTAGGACAGCCACCAGACCCGATCAAAGTTTTCTTTCCTCATATCTCCAAGGAGTTCAGGACAAGGGTTGTGTTTCCCACGTTCAACAATACAATAAAGCCTTGAGGGAAATGAAAGAACGTAAGGTCTGTTTGCGTTTTCCAAGCAATGTCCCAATTGACAAATGGCGCATAATTTGCATAGCTGATGCAGGATGGGGAACACGCAGCAGTGGGGAGAGTCAAGGAGGGTATATCCTATGCTTAGCACATAAAGATATCTTGGAGCGTAAAAGGGCACCATGTTGGATTGTAGATTGGGCCAGTAAGAAACTAAAAAGAATGGTGAGAAGCTCAGTAGCCGCTGAGACACTGTCCAGTCAAAACAGTCTTGATGCCATCGAATCGTTTCAAGCTTTGCTAAGTGAAACACTGTATGGAATGTCACCAGCCGAATTCCGAAAAACCACACCAAAAGTTCCATCATGCCTTGTGGTTGATAGCAAGGGTTTCTATGACGCTGTAACCCGTAGCTGTTGCTCTTCTTCCATTTCTGTTGAAAGACGCTTGATGATTGATTACGCCATTGCACGAGAGACCATGGAAAAACAACACATCATAGCCTTTTGGGTAAACAACCTCAGGATGGCAGCAGACGTCCTGACCAAACTCAAGGGAGATGTGAGACCTCTTTTCGAAATACTTGAAGGAGGCACGTATCAAATCAAGGTTTGCCTTGAATCAGGACGCAAGGAAACAGCGCGGAAAAACCAAGAAGCCAGCGGTCAGCCACCGTGACCAGGAGTCCAGCCATGCATGCCACAAAGATGCAAAAGGCATCAACATGACACCATGTTGGGTTACCTTAGGATGTATAAGATAACTCACTAAGTGATGCATGAGGCCTCCTGAGTAATCCAAAATTGTCTGACTCGCTGGGGTACCCAGTGTAGTCTGTTTTTAATTAAATAGTGTATAGACATGTGTCGCACAGTCACCACATGAGTCAACAGTTTTGCCAGAGCGGACGTCTGACCACCAGTGCAGCCGCTTCCAAGCTTGACTTGTGTTTTTGCCGATTTTCCCATATAGGATTGTGACTTGCCTCCGCATTCTACTTGTGCCATGTCTGACAGCAAGATGCCTCGAAAGGAGACATTCAGTGATCAGCCGTTGAACGCTGATGAGATTCCTCGAGCTGCATCGTTGCTCCTCCGTGCCGTGAAGCATGGTCAGGCGCAGCATGTCCTTGGTTTTATCAAAGAAGCTCCTGGAGCCAAGCCGTTTTGGGCTGGGTGCTATCATGTGATGGATGCAGCCCGTCCCTCAGAATATCAGGATCCAATGTCTATGCCATCTGCGTCCATGAATGATGCCTCGAAGCGTCGAGTCCCTGATGACACCTTGTCTTGGGAGAATGTGACTGAGAATGGTGAGAGCGCTGAGCGATGCATCTTACATTGCATCGATGCCTGAGACGGTGAACATTCCTCCGCCGTGGACTGATGGAAGCAATCCATTGCTTCAGGTGATGAAAGAAATCCAGGAAGATGTGAAGATTCCCATCCCTTCTGACATTGCCAGTGTCCACGAATGGGGAGAATATCTGTGAAACAGAGAAGTACCAGACGGCCGGGCTGAGCTACTATGAGCTTGTGTTCAAGGCCAAGACCGATTCAGACTGCAAGCAGTATCTTTCGTGGATCAAGGGCCGTTTTGGCTATGTTCAAGGAAAAGATCACCCATCTGATAAGATGACACCGGGTAAGGATCTAGCCAGGTTCTTGCAAAGGATTGGATGGACGGGAACCGAGTCCGCCACTTCCTTCCCCGAAGATTTAAGAAATAGGATGACGTAGTAGGCTTCCCTATGCACTATCCGAAAGTATGAACCCTCAATCATCGCCGGCAGAGGGCGTGAATTTTCCCATGTTGGTTCCAACCTTCCAGCTTGGTCACATGTCCAACCTTGTATACATATCTGATGCCGTTATGGTTGAGGGGCCCTTTGAGCCACTTCGTGGCTGAAATCATTCGAAGCGGTGCGATGGAAAATAGTGCGTGAGCCTTGCGGCTATTGACTGGTGAGTGTAGTATCTGTTCTTATCAGTACAACTCCCTACCATCAGAGCTTCCGCTTCTGCATTCAACCACCAACCAGACATCTAGCCAGTATCTCAGTGATTTTTGGGCGATTTTCCCAGGACATGACCGCGAAGCCGTGGGCGATGCCATCTACGGCCTGAAGATCACTGCGCCGGTCGCTCTCAAGGCCGGTTGCCGGGTGCGGGGTTGCGCGGCCCGGCCGGGGGTTTGCTCCAACGTTGGGGTCAAATCACCAGGGATTTCACCGTGAAAAACAGTGGTTTAACCAACATATGGGGAATCAACCATCAAAACTGGGGATTTGAATATTGAGACCCCAAGCCAACTGGGGTAATCCGACATATGGGAATGAAACATTGCTATTGAAAATCCCTGACTTAAATGGAGGCTTGCATTATATAGTGGGAAAATGATCGAACTAAACGGGTGGATTGTCCATTGCTCGGTTTGATGACCCGAGGGTAAACTAGGTGACTAATGGATACTAATGGGACATTAGCAGGCTTATAAATAGATAAATGGTTATAGATGGTTTATGCATGGTAGTTATGTTATAAATGGTTAACAACTATTCAAAATGGATATTCAAATGGAGATGCATGATAATGGATATAACTAAGCAACTGGATGGGGTAATCGAATCAAAAATGGCTGGGGAAAATAATTGACAAAATGGGGATATAATACACAACTTAACCAAAAACATGTGATTTACATTGATTTACTGGAGCCAATGACAATTGGCAACTAGCCTTCCGTAGTAAAAATGGTTCGCTGGGAAATCCCCGTACTAGTATAGCTGGAAAATCATGAAACTACATGGGTCATGGCTTCCACAGCTATGTTTGTTTGCCAGAGGCTAAACCCGCATAAGTTGGGAATGTTGGGATATATGGGGCCCCTATACTTACCGCCATATTCACTTATTAGGTGGAACTGTCCCCCTTGGGGGTTAGAATGTTCTAGATTCATGTTGTTGAGCACGTAGTGACCATTTGCAGCTGTCATGTTTAACTGTGGCTTTGAACATGTCATAAACATCGTCGATGTTTTCAGCTTCAAGTATCTACTTAGACCCTTCAAGAAGCCATCTCAATGGGTAAAAGTCCCAAATCATCATGGATACATTGGATACCCTCTGGTAAACGTTTTTATAACGGAAAATCACCATTTTGAATGGGAAAATCAACTATTTCAATGGCCATTTTCAATAGCTATGTTAGTTTACCAGAGGGTATATATATAATATGTCTTAGTATTTGTCTAAATGGTGATGAACCAGTTCCGCAAGCCAAGAGTGGTTAAGGACAACTTCACTACACCCAGAGCAGTGGTTTCTTTGCGCTTCTTCAATTGCTTCCGCTTGCTGTTGGAAAAGGCGCCGCGGAGACGAAATTATGATAACCTCGCCGATTTGATGGTGATTTCATTGGAGTTTAATGCTATGAATTGGCATTTGATGGTGATGTTGTACCCTGGAGACCTACGAAACAAAAAAGAATTGTGTGATATCTCTGGCCATCGGAGGCTGTTAGATTCCCAGAGGGTTTGCGGATTTGGGGAGGAATGGAAGCAATTTTCGCCCAGATTTGCGGAGTCGGTACGAGTTGTTTTGGGTAATTGTGTGGCGACACATATGAATCAATCATTCAAGTTTGCCCCCCCAAAAAAGTGATCATTTGAAATATGAAGAAACACAATCAACTGATATGAAATATCAAAAAAAAACTTGTGAACACAAGCTCAAGCATCACTCGGGAAGCGTGGCACAATCTGAAGGACTGAAAGCACAACTGCCTGTGCTGACCGCCTTAAAACTAGAAATCATAACAAAATTCAGAAATGCTGGACTCACAGCCAATCAAGACGCTCTCAATTTGCACCTGCAGCGATGTTCCATCATATTCTGGTGGAAACAGAATGTTTAAGGACAGGGATTGTACGTTATGATACCAATACAGCAAACAGAGTGAAACTAAGGAATTTGTTCAAGTTTTCTCATGGTTTATTCTGCATCCTGCAGTGTATTTGCTGTACTCCTCAACGTGGGATGACATGGGCAGGTAATACGTATCTGTAATATTATGTAATTAATTATATATGCTGGATATTACTGGATGATTGAAACCATATACACTCAAATTACTAATATACATACAGTACCTCTCTTTCGAGCTCTTGCGGGCTTAGATGGGTTTACCGCCTCTTCCACCTAACAGTTTTATTTTGGGGATTAACAAAGCAGAATGAACACCTTGAAGGCGCTGGAGGATTACATGCGCGCAAGATATTGTGAAATATTTTGAACATATCCCTTCAAGACTTTCTCAGATATTTACACCTATCACCTCTCGATTTGATGATTTGTGCATACCTACCGTGCTTACACCGTAATATGTATGCATGCTTAGACCTTCCAAGCAGGCATGAACATGGGTAACCATCATAATGGGCGTATTGAAACCTCATTTGTCTACCCACTTGCAGGGTCGAGGTAGATTTGTTTTTTGCTTATGTTATGTTTTAGCATGTAACATAGCTATGGAAGATACACAACTTTTTACAGGTAAATCATGACTGCAGGTTGAACACCCTGACGAGCTGAAAATCTATGTGGAAACCCTGGCATTCAAGCCCCTTGGACGTGCTGGTGTGGTGCCCAGGATTGATTACCACCTAGTTTCATGGACAGTACGGGTAGCATGTTCAACTGTCATTTCTCAGTGTCTTGGCGCGACCATCCGGTCATCAAGTCATGGCTGGAACATCCCCCATTTATAAATGATTGTCCTTTCGAGACCTCCATGTATAGGACATGTCCAATTTCCATGTTCGATTAGCTTAGGCTAACCTGAGCAAAGCACATGAGGTATGGATTACTGGTGAAGGACGGGAGCAGAAAGATAAGAGGAAACGTGTGCAAAACATATTAGATTTTATTACTTCAGTGTTACACTATTTGTTTCGATTGTTTGCCTCCCTCTTCCATTTATGTCCAATGTTTTTTTTTCATGTTTTCCTTTTGTTCCTTTCTTCGTTCTTTTCTCTCTGAAATTCTGCTTGTTTTTGTTTCATCATGGTCCTTTTTTGTTTCCCCATTTCCTTTATTGTTCCGTGTGTTCACCTTTTGACTTTTCGGACTTTGTCCTTGGCGTTATTTTCTGGTTCATTTGCCTTTCCTTTCTTGTTCCACCTTTTTTCAGTTGTTCCTTATTGTTTCCTTTGTTTTCTGTTCCTCCTCTTCTTTTCCATCCTTCTTGTTTCTACTGTTATTCTATGTTCCTTTATCATCCATTATCCTTTATTTTTCATCTTAAATGAATGGAGGTTTTAATGATGGGAATCCCCTATAAATGGAGGTTTTAAAGTGAAGATCCTCTAATTTGTAATTTGTGTTTTCTGTTGATCATTGATGATGATCAAGGTGGAGGTCCAGGGGCCTCTTGTGCCACTAGGACTTGAAGGACTCATTTAGTGCCGGGGCGGACCAGGGCGGGAAAAACCGGGATGATGATGCAGCTATACCACCTAAACGATCGGGTTCTAGGATTCTAGGCTTTTGATCTAGCAAAACGAGGTAGATGGAACCGTTCCTATCCTTGTAGGGGGTTCTATTACTGTAACACTATCTGAACCACTTCATACCACTTCGAAGTGGGTAATGTTCGCACAACCTCCGGTATACGGTATACCACTGGTCAATAAACATAGTTTAGCCATGTTTAGCCAACTATATATGTTTGTGGTATAACATGGTAATATATAACTTGCTAATAACCATAGTTTAGCCACTTCTATGTGGTTTCCCATGGTATAAACGTAACATGGTAGTTTAGCCACTAACGATGCAATCTCCATGGGCTCTTGGGCCGAGGCACATGGGCAATGAAGTGACGGAGCTCCGGGTCGATAAGGCACGGCCGGCGTGGCCCGAAGTTCTTGGTACCCACATTATTGGTGGCGTATGAAAAATCTAATTGATTCTAATCTAAATCAAAAAAACTAAATCTAGAATTGTATCTAAATCTAGATAATTATATATACACATTATAATCGAAATCACTGAATCACATCCAATATCATCCAATCTTATCTAATCTTATGTGATCTGGCAGAAACTCATTTTTGAATCAGGAATGTTGATGAATTTGTACATGTCATTATCAGGTTAGATTACTGGTAACTTGGCTCGGTGACTGCTTGAAAGACATCCATTTCACCGTTCGCTCAGCGTTCAGTGCGCCCATTAGAGACAGGTTATTGACGCGTTCAATGAACTCTTGGTGAACAACGTGCCACCTGGCTGAGTTCGCGGTTGAAACAAGGGATTCGTCTCAGTCTGAAAATCGGGTAATGCCCCCCCATCTATGGCAATTTGAAGGAAATGATCAACGGCGAAGCATCGGATTTTGGGGCACCGGATGTTCATTCCCATAGGACCATAGGACATCGCGTGTGGCAAATTTCAGGCCAAGGACTATCGATTTTTTGGCCACAGTTCTAGTGGCAATATCAAGTAATATCAAGTAGGAATTGAAAGTCCTTTGTTTGATGATAAAAAAGGACTAAATCATAGTCACATTGTGACTTTCTATTTCTAGTTTGGATGGCACAAAGTGCATTTTGCTGGTGAATCCCATATCTAAGTGAGTCATATGGTGAATATCGAATCTCATTCCCAGCTCGACCATACGGACTTCTTGGGAAACATGATTATAATGTATTATAATAGTAATATTTGTTTTGGTTCAGCCAATGATATGTTTGGAATATACATTCTTAATTAGCAACAGTAGTTGTGAGTTATACATGGGTTATGTATATATACATGCATAAGCATAAACGTGCTATTTGCATAGGATCGCATATTTACTCCTAAGCAACAATGTATTATATCATAAAGGGTTTGCACAAACGCATACACACATATATATTATATATATATATATTATATATATACACATGGGTTATGTATGTATACTATACATATGCATATGCTGCATATATAGTATACAAAATTATATAAGAACTATGTGGGACATATCGGGGCCTTCAGATCCCAGGCCAACTCTCCCTCCTGGTACTGCCGCCGCATGGCGACAGATCCTCAGCTATTGCGGCTCCTGCTACAAGCGCCTCGCCATGGAACTGGGTTCAACTCCAATAGGGTTTATGGATGTTTATGGTAGATATACTATGGTATACAGACCATAGTAACTATAGAATACTATAGATCTATCTATAGTTGATAGACGTATAGATATTTAAATTTGGCAAGTTGTTTTATGGTAGATCTATAGTTTTGGTTTACAAATCAACTACTGGGGGAGCACCAGCTTGTAGGTAGTATACCCTCCCGTAATCAAAAGTGGCAATGGCAAATCACCAAAAACTGGGTGGGGGTTAACGGGAAAATCATCTACAAATAGGTTTATCCATAAATACAGTAGCATATATATATATCCATACACTTTCAGTTTTCGCCTTTTTCGTTTCATGGCTTCACAAAAACAAAAAAACACATATCTCCCGGTAATGTTCACTTTGCCCTACAGGGGAGTTTCCTTAGGGAAACCGGGCCCAGGATGATGGGAGGGATTCTCCGGGGATCATGGGGTACCCCAATGGTTTCCAAGGGAGTCCCATCAAAAAAAATCCCCATCGATGGTCCGAATGATATTAATTAATATATTACTCCGCCAAGGGGGATTATAAATGATATAAATGATGTATCCACTTATTTTTTTTGGTTCTCATCATTACTCCGCAACTGGTCCAGGTTCGTGGGTGACACCTATGGCGAACGTCTCCGTGTGATCAAGGCTGGAAGAAGTCCAGGAAGGGAAAGGCTGTAGGAAATCCTGGGAAGAAGAATCATGCTCAGGATGCTCTTCATTGTTCTTCAAATGTTTCCGTGAAAGCCATTGAACCCATTACAGCCATTACATATGTAAATATGTATGTTTTCGGCACAAACAGTGGTATGGCGGTCCCCATGGACGTTCATATTGTTGAGATGGGTGGCTCAAGATGCTCAAGCACCAGCGGGAGAGACATTGGGCCTACTTTCCCATGATTTCCCTGTTGAAAGCACCAATCTTTGAGAGCAGATCGCAGGAAGACTGGACTGCGGTGCAAGCCTCTGGGTCCAGGGATGAAAAGAAGGAAGGTGACGAGACAGCGAAGGAAGACGCCTGGGTTTGATGTTACAGCCTTGGGTTGAGTCCATCGGAGATTGGATGAGGATCTGATTTAATTGTAGCCAAATAAGTATCAACTTCAGAGATCATCCTCCAATTTTCCTGCCAGCACTTCCTAGGAGTGTCCTTTCGATTTGCTGACGTACCAAAGCAGAACGGGGAATTCCATTTGGGCTCCCCAAATTTTAATAGTTCAACAGGTCACTTCCACCATGTTTGTTCCCCAAAGGTTTGTCGCACTTAGTGATGGTCAGCAGCGGCGACCTAAGGAAGAGGCCAAAGAGGGCAAGGAAGGCCACGAAGGCAAGGAAGGCAAGGAAGGTGAAGAGGGCGGAGAGGCTGAAGGAGAAGAATTGACCAACGAAGACAGCGCTGAATCCTTCAGTTTCGCACGCATGTGCGCCTTCAGTTGCGAAGTCATGGGCCAAAAAACCGAAGGCACCGAGGGTTCGGGAGTGCGAGTGCAGAGCACATGGTTCTGGGTGAATTATAATGACTTCACATCACTGGAATGATGGTTAGGAAGGGGAATCATCACCAAATGGACTTATTTTAGCTACTTGCAGGTTAGTGAATTGTTAGGTCAGCCAGATGGTTCTTACTCTATTTTTCCAATGCAACGTATGTCTCAGGTGTAACGTATTGCCAGTGTTGGCTATATGCCCGTGCAACAGACACGGCCGCACTCACCGGTTGCCTTACATTTCGATAAACACATCAGTTGGTTTCATTTCACCACCCGTAGGCCCAATAACCACAAAAACCATCCTCAATCATCAATCACTTGGCTGGGTCATAACAAACATCATCTTACTGGAGCAATTTCCACTTGCAGCCAATATTAGCGGAATGGTCTTAGTCTGGTCCTAAAATCAGGCCATGAACGTCTAGGGTTTCATCATTTTTCGTGTTTACACCATGAAAACATGTCGTGTCTACTCCTTCCCTCCGCAGCTTGGATGGACGAGCTGTTGAAAGTCTTTCACGTGACCCGGCTGCATGGGGCGCAAGACTTGGTTGGTTCTCCAACTTCAAATGGCGAGGCTGCAGTGGAGTGCGCCTGGACCCGAAGAATGCCAGAATGAATCCCTGAAAAGATGCCAGATAGAATGCCAGAAAAGATGTCAGATAGAATGTCAGAGCATATACGAGAAAGATAGAGTGTCAGAATATATATATATATATATATGTATATTGTTATTTTGCATATGATGCCATATAAATATATATATATATTATATATATATTATATATGTACATATATATATATATATATACATACTTCCAGATGTATGTCAGAAACTATGTCAGAATGGTGTGTCAGGGCGGTGATCACTCGACAAAAACAATTTTCTCTGCGTCAGAAACCTCCTCGGGATGATGATCTCGGCGTTCATCGCTGGAAAAGCAGTCAGTAAGTCACGGTGGTGCTGGAATATGTACTGTAGCTACATTTTGGTCATTTTTAGGGCTATTGGTAAATATTCCAGCACCATGGTTCGCTGCCACCGAGATCTTGGTGGAGATGATCTCCAGCCCTGTGCACCTTCAAGAGGAGCTGGCCATATGCCAAAATGCTGGTGAAAGGGAAGAACCCAGGTTCAAAATAAGGATTCAGTGGATCTACCTGGATCTCTCTCCATTTTTGTGGAGTTACTAATATTAGTATATGAGTAATTCATGTACTTCACCCAGCTAAGTCCCAAATATGTGTAGTTTTCCCGGGCTCAAGACCATGGTTTCGTTTGGGGGTATTCATTTTTAAAAGGGCGGAAGGGATAAATTGGGGCGGAATTTCACCAGCCATTTTATCCTGATTTTAAAGAAAAGATGATTTCACGGGATATGAATGGGGATATTTTAGGGAATATAATGTGAGATAATGTAAGTAACTTTAACCTTAGAACATAGAGATTTGACCAATAAACAACGGATATGATGATATTGGCATGGGTGCGTTTGAAAACAGAGGAAAACCGCCCATATAGATCCAAATAGAAATGAATATATATATATGGTATATATATATAATATGAATATAATCCCTTCCTCCTAATACGAATATAATCCCTTCCTCCTAATACTAAACGCCCCCCCATTACTAAACACGGCAGGTAGTTTTTAGTATTAGGGGTGTATTTGTTAGTATTAGGGGTGTATTTATTTTTGAGGAATCCTTTTAATAAAATTAAACCCTTAACAATAAAAACTATTTTTTCCGATCTCAAAATCAATTAAATTTCTCTATATAACGCAATTAAAATATTGCCAAAAATTGGATTTCGAAGCTTCCTCCTAATATTAAATTAAAACCATTAATAATAAAAACGATGTTTTCCGATCTCAAAATCAATTAAATTTCTTTTTATAACGCGATTAAAATGTTGCCAAAAATTGGATTTCGAATCATATTAAATTAAAACCCTTAATAATAAAAACTATTTTTACCGATCTCAAAATCATTTTTTTTAATATAACGCGATTAAAATATTGCCAAAAATTGGATTTCGAAGCTTCCCCCTAATATTAAATTAAAACCAAACTATTTTTTCCGATCTCAAAATCAATTAAATCTCTTTATACAACGCAATTAAAATATTGCCAAAAATTGGATTTCGAAGCTTCCCCCGAATATTAAATTAAAACCAAACTATTTTTTCCGATCTGAAAATCAATTAAATTGCTTTATATAACGCAATTAAAATATTGCCAAAAGTTGGATTTCGAAGCTTCCCCCTAATACTAAATTACAGTAAAAACCTTAATATAAAAAATTAAAAAAAATCCGACGGACCCTAATAATAAACACGCCGGGGTAAACTAGTTTTTAGTATTAGGGGGGAAAACCCACAAATGGTAGGTTGATTTTTAAATTGTTTTCTAAAGGGGATCAATTAAAATTTAAATTGGCCAATCTGAAATTTTCTGAAATTGAAGATGGACGCCTGTTTTTAGTATTTGGGGGACGTTTAGTATTAGGAGGACGGTATATATATATATATATACATATATACAAAAAATATGAATATGCTATATATATATATACATGTTAAAAATATGAATATACTATATATATATATATAATGTCGTTTTTGTTTCAGGACAATGATTATTGACCAGTGGGTGGAATGGGGTGCCCTGTTTTGTGGTAAAGCTAATAATAAAATATAAAAAACAACCGCCTGGCGGTTATGAGAAATGGGTAGTTTGTATATGTTTATATACCATCCAGAACTGGATGTTGAGTTTGGTTTTCTGGCCCAACGCGGCACAATATCACACATGGACATGGTGAGCGCATCACCATGGAAATATAGCTACCACCACGAAAACGTAACTATGCAACACACCAAGCTCAGCACAGAAAATGAAGTTCATTTTCACAGAATACCGGCGCAAATTTCACTATACCTAATTTTTTTCCAAATACCAAACGAGGTTCATCCTTTGCAGATACCGATTCAAATTCAGTCTCATAGCTTGGCTCAAATAGCGCCTACTGTCTATGGGTTGATGGTGATTAATCACTCTGTTTCACGGGTCCACCAGTGGGGGGTCTCTACAACTGCCACGGGGGTCTATGTTTCAAGTTTGTTTAGGTCTATGGTTCAAGTTTGTTTGACTTGGACATCACAAGAAATTTGTGTTGGAAGGGTATTATTTGATTGGACATCTCCATTTCTTTTGGGTGGGGTTTGGGGTCCATGTTAGATTTCGGGTTGGTAAAATTACACTGCATGTTTTTCACTTAAACTGCAACACCACCCAGTGTGATCAGATGCAGAATTCAATGGATTGATCTCAGGGAACATCTTCAGGACACATGTTGTTTTTTAACCACAATATGGCGGGAGTTCCCTCACATCATAAGATATCTACATTCTGAGCCTGTGACCAAGCATGATCAAGCTGTCTCATGCTATCGAACCAGGACGTTCAATGGATCACTTTGAAGTTTTCCACGGCCGGACGAATTGTAACCCTCACATGTTTCATTCAAACACTATTTCAACCCTCCAACATGACACAGGTTTGGCCCATGTTCCAAAGTATTTTGGGGTTTGTTGACCTGACTTGATTTGCATAGTGAAACCCAATTTCCAATTGTTTTATTATTTTAATCTGTATGCCCTATTATAAAACTGGGGAAACCCTGTGTAGCATGTGTAGCTGGCTGATGGCTTAGTTTGTTCATATAGTTTAGCCATAGTCCCATTTGGTGGCTCACCCCAGGAATCATCAGTTGCTTCACCCACCTGCATTCAGTACATTTCAGTACGGATTCAGTGTGGTGCCACGAAGAATGGTCAGCCCCAAAAACATCGAACAATCCATGGTTTTCCTTTCCCCCTAATATTAAACACCAGAAACCATGGTGGAGGGGGATGATTTCACCACGTGTTTGCTACCTGGCTGACCCACAATGCTGGGATTACCATTTAACTGGTGAAACCCATAATACTGGGATAATTGCATGATACTCTATGGATCCAAACACCTCCTTCTCGAAGGTACGGCTAACCCCCCAAATCTACCCCAAGCACTTCCTAAGGAGGTACCTGGATCAATAGGGTAGGTTAACTAGTCCCATTTTATCACAGCTATCCCCGGGGCAGGAGTGCGACTTGTTGGCCATCAACTTGATCACAAAATCCCAGGCTGACGCCGACGACCATGGCTTTTAACATCGAAACAACCCACGGTGACTGGGGATTCTCCATTTTACGAAACCTCCATATGCATTTGTATATATATATATATAATTATATATATATAATTATATATGTATAAATGTGTGTGTATATCAGATTATTTAAACATGAATTGTGATATTGTGATTTATGTCGATTTATGTCTCAAACTGGCAGGCCCTTTTTATGGCAATTTCATGCGGCAAATTTTGTGTCAAACCATTGGATCTCGGGGGTAACAACAGCAAGTCCACTTTGCCATTTAGATCCATCCTTTTTGGCTGAAATCTAAACGTTTTTTCCCAAACGCATCGGTTTCTGGGATGCTTTCGGACGGCCAAACCTCATTTTGGTGCAGGAAATCATCATTTTCGATGGCTCACCTCAGTTTTTAGATGCTTAAACCACACTGTTTCAGAGTTCTTCCGCAGATGGTGGCCCCCTTTAGCCATGATAATCCATGAGCCCTGAATAAGATTCAATGGATTAAGGGAAAAATCGAAACCGGAAACCATCGAGATTTTTCGCCATATGGAGGTGTCCTCTCTGTATTTTCCCCCGAAAAAAAACACTCCATTGAAAATATTGAAACATGCCCAGTCCATCGACTTTGAAAAGTTCAAGCCTGTGATGTTGGCGGCGCTGCGATCCCTGCTCCCCGGATGCCCCGGATGGCGTCCACGCCCGGCGCGGGCTTGGTCATTGGATTTCCCCGGATGGGATTTACTGAGGATTTCATGGGGGATTTACTGGTGATTTAATGGGAGTTACTGGGATATACCCTCCGGCAAACTGTCACATAACTATGGAAAATCACCATTTTATAGCTGCACTCAATGGCCATTTTCAAGTTCGCACTCTGTAAACGTTTACCGGAGGGAACGGTCGAAAATCGACATGAATAAACCATCAACCATTGTCAGCCCACTCTCCAACATAATATCTAACTGAATGGTTTATGATGTAGCTTGACCCTAGTACAGAAAATATATCCAATCACACGAAAATTTCTAGGGCCCATAGATGAAATACGATGAACATACCTTTCACATCCTTTCACCACAGCTTCGCTTGTTCTTTTAATGTTGGATGGATGGGATGGTTTCACCAGTTTCCGAAGTCATAGCTGAGCGAACACGAGAGATGCTGAGGGAACCGAAGTTCATCCTAGGTATCGAGGTTTCAGCCAAGATGTTGGGCAATTGATTGAATAATCCCATCCCCCTAAATATGAAGCATCCCCCTATAGGTACAAGGTGGTGCCCCCAAGATAGCTAAGTTGGTTTATAAGTCCAATAACTATGGCAAATATAGGTGATATATCTATATAGTTAATGGGCTGATAACTAATTTACAATTGGGGGCGCCACCTTGTATGGTCCCAGATATGTGTAAATCCCTTGCTAAAGCATGGCGTTTGGGGTGGCCGAGGCTGCCCAAGCAATGGAGCACTCTCCATGAGAACGTCGCTCAGCTCTGAAAATATTTGGGATCATTCCCCCCGGAAGAAAAAACGATATTGAATAGTGACCTCAAAAAAAAATAGTTCAATAATGTTCAATACTATTTTAGTACCCAACGCCGTCCCCAGGCAACTGGCAACGAAACCCATGTTTTTGCTTTTTTTAAGGGTTTGGGGTGGGGGGGGATGACTGAAAAAAAAGTCATTGGCCAAAGCTTGCAACGCTCGCTGATACAAAAAGGCGCAAAAAAACACAGTTGCCCCAAGATGGCGCGACTTTTTAGTAGTGGGATTATACTATATTAATATATATATATATAATATATATATATATAATATACTATATCATACTTATATTAAGAACTATATTATAATTACTCTTATCCTTTTGGGGCTCTTGGGAATCCCTCAGTTCCCTCAGTTCGTCCAAGGCATGGCCCATTTTTTAAGCCATGCTGCTTGACCTGACCCCACGACCTTGGACCAGTTCTGGCCGGTTATATGCCAGTTATATACCATTTTTGTCAGTAAGTCACCTCATGGAATATAACGCATCAGTTTCTAGAAAAGGCGGTTATATATATATATAGATAGTATATATATATATATAGATAGTATATATATATATACAGTTATATGCCATAAGTCAGTATGTACCAGGTATTTACCAGTTACCATCTTCACGGAATGATGAGGCTCATGGAATGATAAGTAGTTACCATCTTCCAGGTATTTGCCAGTTCTATACCAGTTATATAACCTGGTATATACTATATAACTGGTAATATATTCCAGGTAATATGCCAGTTCTCATGGAATGATGGTCGCCGATTAGCATCGCTCCAGGCCTGGGAGTGGCTATGGACCACCGTGGCGCGAAATCTCAATGAGTCCACCATGAAGGCCCTTCGACAGAGGAATGGCACCGGCAAACAGGCAACCTTTATGATCTTCATGGCCCTGTTGTCGTGTAAACCATATGTTGAATGGTTGCAAAGGCATTTCAATGATCTCTCTTGATGGAGAAGTATGGCATCCCATTCCGATTTGTTTCCGTTTAAGCAACGGCTATTTGAATTGATTAGAGGAAAACAATACCCCAAACCTTCTCCAAAAAAAATGGTGTTTCACCTGACACCGCGTCATGCCAATCTAAAGGTCAACCATTGGTTTTGATTGTTTTGTTTCTGCCATGCCATGGCTATTCTGGGAAACTCCCCAGCAAGCCGAGTTCTGTTCCCGGAGGCTATGCGTCATAAGATGTAACAAGTTGTAGGTGCCAATTCTAGATGCAGTTTTATCATTATTTATCCCAGTTCATTTAATGTGGTAAAGTATGGTCAATTGGTAAACCCAATAATAAACCATCCCCAAGTCATCACCTTTTTAATGGGTGTTATAGACCATCAACATATGGGTGATTCAGAAGATTGTTTTATGAACATTTTCATGGCATTGATTCCTTGGCGTTGATGGGACAGTTGCCCAAAAAAGCACGTTTGAAACCCAGGGTCCCATTGGCAAATTGATCATGGTCCCATGGTCCCATGGTCCCACGGCCCCAATGGCAGGTTCGAGCTTTTAAGCCCTTCAACGTGAAGCTCTTCAGGAACCTCACGGAAGAGTGTCATGGTCACCGAAAATCACGTTTTGGGGGAGGCCCCGAACTCCCGTTGTTTAATGTTGTTTAATGCATTCCAAGGCTGGTGTACACACACACAGATATATATATATATATACACAATCCCCCTTGCCATTTCCTCCACAGATCGAGGGGGGTTGGGGTGCCTATATGGCATAATTTTATGGGAAGTGTTGGCCTTATATGGGGTCGAGCATGCCATTTTGTAGTAATTTGTGGGTTTTACATGGTTTTATATTTTTTTATTTTGAAGGCATGATCATTCATGGGCACCAAGACAAACCATTTTGTAACAAACAAAAAGCCATTTTGTAGATGTTTTCAAGGGTATGATTTGGTGCTTTTAAAACATGTGAGTTAGTCATTGACAGAGAAAAATCAGCTAGCCATTCTGTAGAGAAACCATCGTTTCAATAAATGTACCATTTTGTAAGTGCATATTTGTGTTTGCAATGGTTGGCTCGGAAACACTTTAGGACATTTCAATTTCCCCGCCGTCCCAGTAACCCACCATGTTGGCCCTCGCATGCTTGGTGCTGATCGCACAGCATGTTGGTGCTGTGAAAGATGACACGGCTACATGTACTCCTGAGGACAATCCAACAACCCCCACAACACACCACCCACAACATCCACACGACGACAACCTGATGGAACATATGACAAGAAACCCCTAGACCCCAAATACTTTCAAAATCCCCCTTGCCATTTCATGGGTGAGGTTGGGGGGGGGAGCATTTTGTAGTGAACCACCCCTTTTCTCTGCAAAATGGCTCCAGTACACAGTCTCCATCCTACAAAATGGTCTGTCTATAACCATGGGCCCATGGGGTATGTTTTTTCTAGAAAATGGTTAGGCCTGCTGCCTAGAGTCGACCATTTTGTAGACTGGTGTAGGTCTGAAGATAGACCCTGTTTTTATGATTGTGTTGAAAAGAGCAGTGGCAAAGAATTGTGATTGAATTTGTTCCTTCTGGATCCTTCTGGATCTTCTCGGATTCTTCAGCCTTATCCAAACTTCGATACCGATTGTTCCCTGGAAGATCTTTGTCAAAATAGCATTCTTCTCCTGATCTTCGTTTTTGCTCTGGGACCGTTTTTGTGACTGGAACATACTGGAACCGGAACAAGTTTCCATCTTCAGAAGGATTGCCAGCACATTGTTGGCAAAAAAATAGAAAATATTCATGCTGCAAAAGTTGCATGAAAAAAATGGATCCACCTCCGAAAAGGAGGAGTGAAGACGACTAGAGGGTAAAAACCCTACAAAATGGCACTGGGAAAAAGGCAGTTGACGCTGAGGTCTTGACAAGATAGAGGCTCTACAAAATGGCTCTGGGATTTTTATATGTTTTATAAAATCATGAATGCACTGGTTTGATCATTTTTTTGACTAAACTGTCAAAATATTTGTGGATCAAAACAGGTGACAGGCACTACCATTTTGTAGAGCCATGGGTTATAGACATACCATTTTGTAGGATGGAGACTGTGTACCAGAACCATTTTGTAGAGACAGGGGTTGGTTCACTACAAAATGGGTCCCCCCAACCCCCCCCAGGGAATGGGAAGGAGGATTATACACGCACATTATATACACATAACGGATTTTATAATGACTAGCAAACTGGATGATATTATTTTTGGATTTGTCAAGAAAAAGAATAACAGCAGATGCAATCGCGTTTGTTTTTGACCGGGTGAAGGGGCACAAATGTTGATAAACAATGGATTAGAGGAATTTGGTGGAGCTGGGGGTGCCCTGGTATTTGAGACAGACAAAGCCATATTAAACCCATTGAAATGATTGTAAGATTTTTTTATAAAATATGATGGTTGGTTGAAGGCTGGCGCATGGCGGATGACACTTAATCAAATTCAAACCCATCCGCTGATGTTCAACGGTTACGCACCTAAAAGCGATGCCCGGCAGTAGGCGAACTCGCAATTTATTGAAGGTAGCCCTGCGCGACAGCAGGTCATATAGTTCTAGGACGTGGCCAATGGTTCCAAAAGAAAGAACAGTACCAAAAAAGCGACGCACATGGTAATTTTGCACCTCCATATTTTTGTTGGGAGACATCCTTTTGAGCCATATCTATATTAATCTATATGGTTGATCCAGCCTTTTTGAGTAGATCCAGCACCAGGATCACCCAGCTTCCTAGTCACTGACACTTTGCGCTGTGCAACAGCACAAAGTGTTCAATGATATAGACGTTCCAACTCGGATTAGATGCTTTCAGGTATTGAAAGCATCTCAGTTTTACAATATATCCAGGTTGATGTCTACGTAGCACTGTTCAAAGATAGTGGATGTCATTTCACTTAGACCCATTGGTTCATGCCATTGCGAGTGGCTTCTCAACAACGCTTTGCCATAAATTGATCGACTATGTCATAGAGTCAATAGACTGTAGCATACCCTAGCATTTTTCCCGGTTACCCTATAGTCATATACATGGTTTATACAGATGTTTAAGAAAGGTCATAGACTAATAATTGAAGAATTTTAAACAGTCTTACACTTTATGAGACATGTTATATCATGTTATATCATGTGATAATTCCTATAGTTATCATTCTGTATAATTGAATGTCCTATAGTTCTCCAGTTATCCATCACCATCGCTGTGACGTTGTCACTGAGTCATTTGAACCGTTTCCGCGTGGACATTTTCACGGCCTTCTTCGCCAAGAGCACCGCCTCGCAGGATCTCTTCAAGCAGCCCCTGGGCAGCCGTGCGAGAGCGCATCAGTGTAGGGAATTAACCAACCACTTTTTGTAGGACTTCTACTTATTCTGGTTGGAACTCCCTACAGTTAATCTATGGTTAATCTACGGTTAATAATTGGAATAACAATAGATATCTGGTTGGTGGTGACTGGAACCTGTTTTATGACTTTCCAGAAACAGTTGGGAAATTCATCATCCAAACTGACGAACTCACTCCATCATTTTTCGGGATAGGTATACCACCAACCAGTTATTGAAAGGCTGTTTAATACTAGGGGGATGGGATTCTTGGAAATAGTGATAGTGTGCCATGAAGTGAATTTGGGCCATGAAGCTACCATGATTTGGGGGGATGGTTTGAATTTTTGGCTTTAGCGCATGATGGTTTCACATGAAATTCTCAAGGGCCAAATGGGAATGAGAATGGGAATGAACATGGGAATATTAAGTGGAATGAACTGGGACTATTTGAGTGGACTTCAAAGAAGATGCACCACAGTGGGTCTTATTTGTTTTTTTGTAACCATGAGGTTTTCATGCCTATCAGTTGAACTTAGTTGAACTAAAACAATAAGAAAACAGAACTCGGTCGGGTAGATGGGCTATAACTATAACCCCGTTTTGCTTTTAATGGTATGCCGGCTCAGTCCACTCCAAACATGTGAGGTAGAATTACTTCTATTTTGAGAATGATTGACATCTACTTGCTAATTGAGAATGGACCACCCATGTAGCACCCCTTAAGGCCTCAAGGCCCCATGAGCAGTTGTCGCATCCCCCAAGTCCCAATGGCCGTTGCAGCAGCACTAGGTCTCAATCACGTTTGCGCTATATCGCAGATCGTGTGCTGCAATCTTCCTCCGACATGTTTCAAAAGAACAAAGATGAAGCTTGGCATTTGCCTTTATGATATATTTCATGGTATTTGATGTTTGCCAAGCAAATGATTTTGGGAAATTCCATGAATTGGACACATTTTCCTTTATGGAAAAGTTCATGGAATTCCCAATCATGGCAATGAAGCATATTGGCCGAACATGATGATCATGGATGGGGATTTTGGGGTACACTTCGGGACAGCACGAAGTGTTGCAACCAATGTTTTTATTTAGTCATTGGCTGATGATTTAACGGGGATTTTCTTGGTAATCTCTGGATTGAACTTAAGATGTTCGCTCCTGTGTTGGTGTTAGTTGTTGTTTGTATCATCATGTTTGATCATCCGCATTGTTGATGCTGTCTCTTTGCATGGGGGCCAACAGTGGGTACCTTAAAGTCTGGATGGTTAATACAGAAACACATGCCCCATCTAAAAAATGAAAATTACAAACAGTTGGTAATGTTGGTAAAGCAGTAATTCACCATAAACCATCCATAGTTATCATAGTGCAACGGTTTATACCACCCTTTTATGGTAGAACTAGGGCTGGTTACTGGTTGACCATTGCGTTACCCTCTGGTAAACTAACATAGCTATTGAAAATCACAATTTTTAATGGGAAAATCCACTATAAGTGGCAATTTTCAATAGCTATGTTAGTTTACCATTGCGGAGCCGTTCGCCTGCCGGCTGCAGGAGACTTTGGACGATCTCTCTGCGTTGGGGTTGCGCCACGTGGGTGGCTGGGTCCCGCACGGAATCGAGGGGACGTGGGGGGATACCGTTAAGGCCATCAGAATTAGTTCTACCGCGATATACCAAAAACTAATGGAAAATCACCATTTTCAAATGGAAAACATACCAAATTAGTAAACATACCAAAATCATAGCTAGAATTCGTAAACATACCAAAAACTATGGAAAGATCCACCATTTTCAATGGGTAAATCATGGTAAATCCACTATTTCGATTGGGCCATTTTCAATAGCTATGTGTAACAAATTGCCAGAGGGTATACCGTTAGCCCAATTCTCCCCAACGTACGGCAATTTTTTGATGGGGACAAATCGGGATTTTGAGATCGCTGGAGTTTGGGGACCCTTAAATTGGCCGTTGATCAAGTTGCCAAATGCTTGCAGGCTTGGTTGCTGGAGAGACATGAAAGTCGCATCACCCACACCTAGATGGCTTTGGAATTTCAAATCTTCATGTCCACTGCGAGCTTAGATTCCATATGATATACAATCCATCTCTCCGTTTAGCATTCTTTCATATTCTTTCATTTCCTTTCCTGGCAACATGTTGCAGACCTCAACCGCTACTGGCCATCCCAGTTTACGAAGGCAACCAGGAGTTGAAGATAGATAAAGATAATCCCTCAAAACTATGGACAATTCCAACTCAAGACAAGTTAACCTCCGGTAAAATCCGGTAATCAAGCATAGCTATGGAAATCCCCATTTAGTTTTTATGATTTTCCCAGCTATAACCCTCCAGCTATAGGTCCATCTAGTTTGGGGATTTGCCAGCTGACATTTTGGGAATGGTCATCAATCCATTAAGAGGGCGCAATTTATGCAACCACTGTAATGTAGTAAACTCAACAAAAAATCAACCATCCCCAATATCACCCTTTTAATGGGTGTATAAACCCTCCCGAAAAAAAAATGGAGCTTTATTTTTGCCCGGCTTTACCACAGAGGATCTCTATTATGACTTATGAGATGGCCATAAACCATCATAAACCATCATAAACCATCATAAAGCCATGAAACTTGACCTCCATCCCTGATCTCAGGCTATGGCATTCCCATTGAACTCTTCGGTCCCTTCGCGGATTGCTGTGTGGAGGTCATGCTGCCATTGATCCAGGAGATTCCCAACGACTGCGTACGCCCTGGGAAAATGGCAGGGATGACGTGGAACTACGATTGAGAACATGCAGAATTCTTTGCTTGTGGCTATATGGTGAGTATATATATATATTATCATATAATTATACTTCATATAATAGACATATATTTGTATACAAATTTGAATCAACTTCCCAACTTCGAGTTGTGTAGGTCTCAGGTGATCCACTCTTTCCACCGGCCGTGTCTTGCACGAGATGGCCATCCGGGGCCACCGCAGGTGAGCACCAAGATGATTTGGTGTCCCAAGGACAGGGCACATCAAATCCAAGCACCTTGGTTTTTGAAAATCCACTCAGATTGGCCAAACAGCTGGCCTGGAGTACAAACATACTTGTATTAGTGATGATATTGCGTGTTTGCAATTGATGGCATTAATATATGTGTTATTTGTGGATGCTACACTTGCGTGTGTCTTTGTGTGTGTGTGCCGATGTGCGTATAGGTCAATGTCCCTATCCAAAAAGGAATGGTTCCTTAAAAGTAAAGGCCCATTGTACGGCAAAGTCTAGTCAGGATCCATATCTTACGTATGGAAATAGTATGGTGGATGCAGCCGCTAGGGCTGTAGCTAGAGATGCGTTTAGAGCCAAGCTCGAACCTTACCGTAAGTTGATCACAGTGGCTGTGTCATGGCAATGCCATATCATTGCCACGCTGGGCGAACGATGTGCGTGCCAATTTTTGTGCCCGTCAGACCAACCTCCGAGTGATCCAACCCCTTCACACCTTTTTCCTGAGCAGTGTAACAGTGAATTCTTGACCAAGTGTGAAAACGGGACCGTTCGCCCGAATGACTTCGACAGACTCTGGGACGTTTATCAAACTTTTCGGGATTCTTTCACCTCTGTCATTGTTCAACCCCATGTCTTTCCTCAGCTGGACCAGCGGAATGCTAGGTCTAGGTTGCAGAATTATTCTGGTGAGTACTTCCAGGCTTTGTCTAGGTACACCCAGGATGTCTGTGTAGAGTTTCTGGTCAATCAGCAAGGGCCCAAAGTTCCATGGGTCTTGGTGTTTTTTGACTTTGTGGGTTGTTATCCTGATTTACCCGAGTGGGTTGACGGCAAGAAACCTCAGCATTTTTTGAATCAATTCAAGACCCGTTTTCGCCGTTTCTGCAAAGCCAAATTCACTTCATATCATCATTGCATGAATCTCCGCGACCTCCATTTTGGGAGGATGAGTGGTTTTGTTGGGTTGTTCAAACCCGTCTCTATTCACAAAGTCACTTTCCTGAGCGTTCATTCTTCTGCTCAAATTGGCTATTCTGGTGGGTCTCCCTCTGGTAGAGGTCCTGGTGTGTCCTGTCGGTCCATTGATATTCCCTTCTCTGTCCTCAGATCATTTCCTGCTTTCGCTGATTAATTGTGCTTTCGTTGCCTTGCTGAGTTTCGCGCGCGGCACTCAGAGTATCAGGCTGCAAAAAAGGAATGGTTCCTTAATTTTGGCAACAGACATGTTGATTCATACCCATGAGGTGTGATTGCTAGGTTGACTGGAATGATTGACGCTCTGTAGCTTGCATATTGCCTACACAAGGTGACAACGTGCAGGAGGAGCGATGCCAACCAACTCATCAGCCACAATCAAACGTTGATTATTGGTAGAGTCTAGTAATCAAACGGTCATCAATGGTTCAATGGGAAATCCAGGATCCTAAAATGGAGGTACTGTACCATATAAGGCCATAGTTCCAATTTAGGTTCCTGAAATGGCCATTGAATGGTTAATGGACAATCAGTGTGTGGAACTGTGATGAAAGCCTGTCGCCCCATTGGTCATGTCACCAAAATCTTCATAATAAGATTGCTGGATACATCCTTGCTATTTTTGAGTTGGTAACGCGTCATTGTTCAAGTTGTTTGCCCATTTCAGATGCTGTGTAGATAATGTATGTACAATTACACATATACCCTCCGGTTATTTAACATAGCCATGGAAAATGGCCCATTTATAGATGGTTTACCTATTAAAAATGGTGATTTTCCATGGCTATGTTAAATAACCAGATGGTAGTATTATTGGCGTAAAAGATTAAGGCTTCACCGGCTTCACCAGAAAGAAGCTGTCCAAATTCACCTGAAAAAAATTGCCCGGCCGCTGTCTTCCTTTTTGCAACGATCGCCGGCTGAAGTGTAGCCAAGGAGAAAGACATGCACGAGCACATGATGTTGGAGGGTTTCCGCTGGTCCATCGGCCCCTTGACAGAAATTTGCATGATTTGGTTGGCGCTTGACAGGTCAACGGTGGATGATGACGATTATGAACACACACACACATATGTATGAATATTGAATATGTTGTTTTGGAAGATATGATATCCTAGAAATAACTCTTTGGCATACCTATTGGCATGATGCGTTGCGCCAAGGTTGGCTTCACGAGTTGACAAAAAAGTATGTCCCATGTACGTACATATTATATATTATGTTCGGACCCTTGAAACCGTTTGTTTTGTGTAAATACTTGTAAAGTTTGATCCCTATATCAAGATATATCAAGATATATCAAATTAATTTTAGACATATTTACTAGAAAGACTACTTTTAAGTCTTCTGAGTCTTCTGATGTTCCCTCCAGTAATTCTCTCCTTCCCCGACCAGCCGCTGCATGCGGACGGCGTGCAAACGTCGCAGAGCTTCCCGTGCGGAAGCAGTAGGTCGCTTTCCCATGCAGTCCCCTACGCAAGTACTACGAGGTGGTGCCCCCCCAGTTATGTTTGTTAGTTTATAACCCCCCATTAAGTATAGTTATATCTACCATAATCCCAAGTTATTGGAGTTATAAACCAACTTAGCCATACTTAGCCAACTATGGGGCACCAGCTTGTACGCAAGTACTAATTATAGAATTCTCTCCAGTAGTAATCACTCGTATCCACTGGTCAATATTGATCATATTTACATACACAAAATGTCTACAATTAGTCGTTTTTTTCATCTATAATCCCATCCCCCGTTCATATCAAACACCTCCATTCTATGTTCCCATTCATGTAGGTGTATCAAATCCCTGGATCATCCAGCCGACTTGTCAGAAATTTTGCCAGCCATTTGTGACCACCATCCGGCTGGCAGGTCTGACTGCTCGAGTGCTGGTACGCACCATCATGGATGGTTCAACGGCTGTGATGTCCCTGGGCATCCCGGGACGGCACCGGTTTATGGACCGTTAAATCCCGGATGCGAAATGCTGGGATTTACGGATGCGAAATGGGCCAAACATCTTATGGGATTTAGAATGGTATAGATGTTTAATAGCAGTAATTAGAAGTAAAAATAAAATTGCAATTGCTGCCTGTGAGAGGTTTTGTTTTTGAATGGCAATCTTGTCAAGACATAGTCGTTCCAACGCTAATGTTGTGGCTGACTTGAACTGAGTTGTCAGCCTGGTCAAGTTGTGACGGCTTGGAATCGGTGCTGTGACACCTGTGACCATTGATTCCAAGAATGTTCAAGAATCATGAACAGTCCAGGGGGTAGAAGCAACAATAGATAATTAACAACACCCTCTGGTAAACTAACATAGCTATTAAAAATGACCATTTATAGTGGATTTACCCATTAAAAATTGTGATTTTCCATAGCTATGTTAAATTACCAGAGGGTAGTTACTAGTTTGTGGAGAACCATAAGGATAGAGCTTTATAGCTTATAGCAACTTGATAGCAATACATATGTGACTAACCAAGAGTTTGTTTGACCTTTCCTTACGTATACACAACCCGTGTAATAGCAACTTGATAGCAAAACATATGTGACTAACCAAGAGTTTTTTTGGGCACAGCCACTTAGCCTCTGGCCAGTGGACAGGAAAGAAATCTGATCGGGTAGAACCAGCTTCCAATGATCGCAGCAATGGTGGGATCTCAATTACATCAAATTCCGAGAACAACAGTACGAGATGCACTAGACCTGATCAAGCTTTCAATCTTCAATAATTTCTCATCACTTCTCAATTAATCTTCCCAATGCACTGTACACAGTTCAAAAATAATGTGGGTAAAACAATGCCATAAACCATCTCCCAGTCATCACCATTTTCATAGGCGGTATGGAAATCCCATTCCCAGTCATGGGTGGTTTATGGCATTGATTTTCCCACATTAATCACATAAGATCATAAGATCTTCCGTTCCTTTCACCGCTCCAGGATAATCCCATTAATAATCCATTATATAATAATCCACTATATTCCCATGATAATCCCATACTAATATAATATATATATATACGTATATATATATATTAAATGGGAATACCATTAATAATATTAATAATCCACATATATTATATACAATCATTAATAATCCCATTTATATAGTAATATATATATATATATTAATGATATTCCCATGGTCAACCGTGAATCCTCCATGTCGCTAAGGCAAGCCATTCATTTCGACGACTCCAGACGCTTGCGCCGGGCCTTGCAAGATGCGCCACGTGTGGCCTGGCGTTACCACAAGGCCACAAGGTTTATTGATAATATGCTGTTGTGCATTGGAAATCGGGAAAATGGATGTTCACTTGGAATCTTTTGGATTTGCCCAAAAGTTGTTTTTGCCGTTTAACCTTCAAAACCTGTGGATGTGGACATAAATCTTGGCCAACAGTATATTTTACCACCAGAAACGATTCACAACCAAAATACGGGTGGCCCAACAGGTTGATGTTTACCCCAGAGGGGCCCCAAGTTTCTGCCTAAGGTTGAACGAAGCGTGTGGCAACTGGCTGTGCAAGTCGGAAGCCAGTCGATCTCTCCGCTCTTCTGGGCGTTGAGGAGCTGGGCTTGGAGCGGATCATTTTGGGGGGCAATTTGATAGGGTTTTGATAGAGATAAACATCAGGGACTTAACTCTTAAAGATATGGAGGTTCATCCATTAAGCCACCACTAATCCCATCCCCCTATCGATTATGATCTTCCATTTTGAGGCCCCCCACAATGAACGGATGCCCAGGAGTGGTGCCCATGCAGCGGCCAAGACGATGATCGAAGATGTTCTTACCATCCGTGCAGTCAGGGGGCCCAGGGCGTCCAGTGCAGAATTCTAATCAACGCACTGGAAATTAGTTCCTTCGTTAATTGAACATAGCTATGGAACATGGATGACATTGCCCATTGATGATCTACCTTTGAAGCATGGTGATTGGCCATAGTTATGTTAAATTAGCGGATGGGAATTCAAAACATCTTTAGTTTATCAATATTTATCAATCATCATTTTGTTATTAATTGATAATGTTAGTTAGATCTGTAGATAACTATCATACCATTAAATCTGTAGATTTTCCTTGGAAGAAATCCCTATTGATCTCGATGATCTCGGACGCCAGAGTTGATGCACCCCACTTTTTTGTGCTTTGAGTGGCCTATACAATCGACATACAAGTACGTGAATGTGTATTTGTATGCATGTTTCCTACAGTTATGGCCATTCATTAGTTATAACATGTTATAACTTATAACTGCTATTTTTTCTATGGGATTATACATATTCAAGGGGCTTTTTCGTACTTATAACTGGTATCACTAGGGCCATGTTTCCATCCGGTGGAGGACAGAGATAACTACTACTTTGGCGCCGACCAGCTCTTCAAGCTACTGGACCGCGAGGAGCTGGGGATGTGCCCGCTGTGCATATAGATAAACAAACTTAAATAAATATGGGTAATATAGATAAACATATAAATATGATATATATAGATATACCATATAGATAAATATAGATATATACATATAAAATAATAGAGACAAATATAGATATAAACATATATAATGATATATAGATATAGATATTTAGATATTGTCGATAGATATGTATATATATATATATCATGCATACATGAATTTCAATAGAGATAGAGAGAGAGGCTATATAGCTATGCACATACCAGAGGCAGAGTGAGAGAGAGAGAGATGGGTACTGTATCTATTTGACAAATTGATCCTAGTAAATGGGAAAAATAAGCATGATTAATTCAGGCAGATTAGGATATAATCAGATTTATGGCTGACAGTCCGGTATTACATGATATTACACAAGCATACTACTACACACACACATATATATATATGAGGAACCGACAACATTATTATCTATAAAACATATTTAGTCTTGCTTCGCCTTGGGCCTTGCTGAGGGGTGTGCAAAACCTTCATAACCGATAGGGGACGACCCAAATAAAAGTGCATGGCATCGAAATGAACAAGCCATTTTGTTCGCTATTCATATGTATACATATATATATATATATATACACATTAGCCATGCTTGAAGATGGATGGATGGATGGATGGATAGAAAAATGGATAGACAACCCAGGCATACTGCTTGGTATGCAGTCACTCCATGAGCCAGAGATGGAATAGCCAGATCAAACCTTGAGGCTGTCCCTGTTGAGGTATCAGCCCAACATTGCTGACAATATTTTGCGCCTCTCGGCATGGCTATTTTTTTCGTGAATCACGGCTTTGGTTTTGTGTGTTTGAAAAATCGTGAGCTCATTGAAATTTATGCATCTAAAATGGGACTGCAATTCGCAGCTATATTAGGTATAGAACCAACAATGATCTAAGTGGATTTTTTGAGAATGCTATAAGCCAGTTACATACCCTTGTGTAATTTGTTAGTCGGAAACCGCCTGGAAAACCATCGAACATGGCAATGGGAAATCCCCGCCGATCTAAATGGATGTTTTAATTAATGGGAAAATAATCTATCAATGGGGCCAATTGTCCATTGCCATATTTGACTTTCAGAGGTTAAAATAACAAATCAATACACACTGTATTTAATGTGGGTAAAACAATAATAAACCATCCCCAAAATCACCATGGGTGGTATAAACCATTGCCAAATGGCTATTATTATCTTTATTTTAACCACATTAGTCATATCTCCCAATCCCTCTGGTCTCCATCTTGTCGGCTGGTTCAATGTCAACCCCGGATTAGGAATCCCGTGCTTTAGTGATTGATTCCAACAGAATATATGGATACTGTGTATATATAGATAGATAGATAGATAGATAGATGGTCCATCATCAAATCCCGCACCCCAAACTGATGCAGTTTTTTCGCTTAAAAGCAACGATTAAACTTGACATGCCACTCAGTGAGATAAACCCCAGCTGACATTCCTAAAGCTCAGGTGAGGCACCATTTTTGGCAGACACACTGTTGAACGGTTTGATTTGGCGCTCACACAAGAGTCAGGACACCGGACTGTCCGGTAGTTCCACCGAGAAAAACGATCGAAACGTTTTTTTCCCACCCGAAAAACTTCCGGCCAGGCATGAACATTGCAATATATACAACCAGTACATAGGTTTTGTGATGCAACCAACTAGCGCTGGCCATTTTCCTTGACAGTCATTCTTGAAAAAAACAAACAAACCACATTGTGTTGTCTGAACATTTTGGAACCCAACAATCCCCTTGGTTTACCATTGATTTCCCCTGTCAATTGGGGTATCCCGTCTATGACGTAAACATGCAAACATATTTTGGACAACCCAGAGTTTTCCACGGAAAACTATATATTTCCACAGCTATGTGAATTTACAGCAAGGTACTTCATGGGGAACATGATGATGTTGAGGCATGGGATGGAATGGGCTACACATTGTCCATCCTATTCATCTTGGCGGATGACCCCACTTTGAATAAACATGTCATGGCGCATGTTAAACCCACTACCCAGGAATAATAAGAAAAACATAGAAAAATATAATAAGCAATTGAAGGGGAAGCACATCCGACAAAAAAAAAACGGATCCAAAAACGAGCCCCAGCCCATGTCAATCATGTGCAGCAGGACAACTTGCGACCTGTGATCTACTACCTGAAGCACATGATGCAAGACATGGACGAAGAGAAGATGCTGAGTCGCGCGTTGATCAGCTACGCAACGTGGCGGCATTCAGACTGAGATCGGAGGAAAATGGAAAGGATGGTGATATGCCCCGGTTTTTGGATCTTATATATATAATGTTCTATATATAGTGTTGTAATAAATATTATACATACTTATGGAATCACGTATGTTCTTCCAGTATAATATAGTACCATTATATATATATATATATTATGTGCTTTGTTTATATATAATATGAATGTATATGCTGATGTTGGAAGACTATATATATACACACATATATATAGTAATTGAGATGTTTGATGCAACTGGCACTGGTTAGATTCAAGAAACCTACAACATCTGGCCATGGAAAAACCACGTTGGTCGCTGACTGACATTGAGGTGCGTTTCAACCATCCTCAGACCATCATGCACCCAATCTTGGCCTTCTCCTTGGACTTGCTCTGGGAAAAGTTGGTCCCTGGCCTGCAGCTGGTTACCGTAGCAGCTGTGGACTGCAGCTTTGAATCTTGATTTGTTGCCAGTGTGTAAGGGAATGTCAGGGGAATATTCAAACAAAAAAAGTAGAACTCGCAAGCTCCTTGTGGTTGCTGGTGTTCTTTTGGATTTAACCGTCTTAACCTCAACAAAATTTGCCACGGACAATGGTCTGCCTAACCTGGCGCATAGCATTAATAGAAAGCACGTGCAAAAACATGTCAGCTTGGACTATATCGAGGTTGGCCTTGACTGTGTTTTTATTGTTTGCTAGTTGCTTGAATTAACTGGCAACACAAATGCCAATCAATTTTCACCAGCTCCCTCCCTCACTCACTCTCTCTCTCTCTATATATTTCTCTAATTGCATATATATGTGTGTATACATACGTAAAGAGAGAGAGAGAGACATAAAACAAAAAAAACAAGATTTATCTATAATATATATATAATATATATGTATATATACGTACGGTCGTATTCGTATTTGGATTTGTTTGAACTGTGCAGTTTCCGCGGGCTCCATGCTGAGCTGCAATCTGTATTCTGCATTCTGCTTTTCTTCGGGGCTTCCAGGTCGTTTGTGACTTCGCAAAAAAAATCTGTCCATATCCCCATTCATACCATCTCAGTTGTCGCCATGTCGCCACGTTTCCAAGTGCTAAAATGTCACCCCAACCGGAGCGGTTGCTGCGCCATGCAGCGCCCTAGGCCTTGCGCTTCTTCATGATGGACCGGGTGCTAACGGTGCTTAACTGTAGCCTGGTGAAAAACTGGTGGTGAGGACTGAAACCATGTGAGGACTCTTCAAAACCCCTCCTGGTTGATGATTATATGAAACTGGGAACTATTGCAATCCATTATTTAAATTATACAGAATTAATTCTCCCTACTTGACCAGGGAGTAAAAAGAGACGACGTTGCGGGTTTTGAACGCTGCTCATGTGGAGTTCAGAATCGGGTCATATTGCCCCATCAAGAAACCAACAAAAAAACTGTGGGATGTTGCCTAAATACAACAATACCAATGGGACATCTACCGGGAATTGCCAAGAAAAAACAAGAACAATTGGACTTGTTGTTGCTATGCAATCGGACGCTGTATGTCTATCTTCACAAATCTTAGAATGGTTTGTTTCAAGTCTTGTGATCATTGTCATATCAAGGTGTGATCCTCTAGTGGGACACCCAGTTTACTGACTGCTCCAAGAACCAACTTTCTGGAGAATAAGTCCACCGAAACGAAACACCTTGGAGAGAGTTGTCAGGAAGCAACAATAATGAACCATCAGTTGGTGGTTTAAAGTTCTTAAAATCGGCTGATTCAACATGTATATTTGTAATTTATATATGGTTGTATATGTATGTATGTATGGATGTATGTATGTATGCATACACACACATATATATATATATATCTGTGTGTGTGAGTATGGGAATTGCTACCAACCATGAACCAATCCACAACATGCTAAACTTCCAATGGTCGTTCATGCGCACTTTATTTTCCATCCTCTTAGGCCCCAAGCCGAGCCCGGTTATATATGCCCTGTCACCGAGGATGCTTTACATGCCAACGCAATACCAAAATAGATTCATAGATGAGATTCGATTTTGATGTTTGGATGAGCTGACAACGCCTCCAAAAAAACAAACCACCAAACGCTCAGCTTTTGGAATGGTTTCTGCAGCCAGGTATCATCTTCATTCTGGCCGAATGCCCTGCCCTCAGCGGGATTGACCGGACGCATCCCCAAGGATGAGTATAACCATAGGCGTGCCATGCTCAAAAGTTGGACTTAACCATGAAAAACAAAGGAGATTTCATGTTATAGCAATGGCCATATTATGGAATTTAATCGTTATATTATATAACAAACTAGAAGTAATATATATATATGTTTTAAATTATATACTGATTGGATAATGTGTAACGATATTGTGGGATGGTTATCAATCCGTTGTCATAGGGATTTATATAGTTTAAATAGTCGTTAAGTTTACAATCCTATTATGGAATGGATGACCATAAACTGCCATAAACTAATTAATCACATTGCTGTTTTGACCCTAGCATAGGTGATCATTTTTGGGGCTGCGGCTTAAAACCATTCAGAGACATTCAGAAACACGTTGAGAACATCAGACATCGTTGGAATATCAGCTATGGTCAGCCCTGGTCCGAATGGCCGGTCTCCTGGTCCTGATGGTTCCAAGTTTTGATGACCAAAACATAGCTTCCATTATCCCTACGAGCCCATAGATTCATTATCCATTGCCATGTAAAACATAGATTAATTAATATTAATTAATATTTATTGCTTCCTCTTTCTTCTGAGAATTGCAGTGGTTATTTTTCATGGTTTTGTTTCATGGTTTGGTTCTTGTCCAGATTGCCCAGGCTATTTGAACCAAGCTTCGATGATCTCGGATCCTACGACTCCTGGCGGCAGGGCACATCATGAAGAAATACACATGCACATATACATATGTGATACGTATATCATGTTCAGGTTTATGAATATATAATGATAATAACAATAATAATCGTAGTAATAATATTGGTAACAATAAAAATACATAATAATACCATAATTATAATACGTGTTTATATGTTTATTTCTATACATATACCTATTATTCATGTGTTTTTCAAACATGGCTCCCATCTAATCACTAACGATGTGGCTTTGGAACCTGGAGAGGCCATAATCGAATTTTCCATGGAGCTGTTAAGGGTTTTAACGAGAAATCGCTACTGGTAGGATCATGAATCCACGGAGAAACTCCTAGATCCATCTAGATCCAATGCCAGGACATCCCAGGACATCCCATCTTCAGAAAACCACTTGAGGTGAACGCAATTGATTTCTTCCTTTATATCCAGCACCAATATTTTGGGTGGTTGAATTCAATGTTCAATGTTCCACCATTTTGGGTGGTTAGATCCAATAAATCCATATAATTCTGTATATAAATCCATCTGAACCCATGTAAACCCAAATAAAGCAATCTAGACCCATGTAAACCCATATAAATCCCTATAAACCCATATAAACCCACAAAAACCCATATGCATCCATTAAAACCCTGCATAGAATCTAGGACCTCCATGGTGCTGGCTGTGGCTCGTGGCTTGGTTTACACCTTGGGCTTCTTCCGCTTGGTCTACTGGCGCCTCGCCGATATGCGGCTGCTGGTGGCTGGGGGCTGGTTTTAATATCAATAAAATCTAAAATATGTATTATTAAAAAAATGGGCGGTTTCAACCAATTTTAATTAAACAAATAATGCTGGGTTTTGAACAAAATGCGGATCTGCTTGTTTTTTTTTGTGAAATTGGTAAAATCCCACGGTGACTTATCAACCTTCTTGTCACTGAGCGTTGGCGACTTTCCCACTTGCCGACTTGGCTGTGTTCCTGGAGCAATGAAGAGAGAGAGAGAGAGAGAGTCTATCAATAATTTTAGATTTGCTAAAGGCTGAAAAAGTTTTTTTGAAATTTGTAAAATCCACTATGACTAAGGAATCCATACGGGAATGTTTTGGAGTTGCTTGGGACCATTCTAAGCAGTTATCCGACACATCGGATCTAATTTGAGTTCTCATTCTATCAACTTATTAACTGCATTGTTTGATTTGATCCTGGGCAACTACATGATGGCCCCCAAGTGACCGGTGACCTACATATTTTCCACATTTGTCATGGGGTTTACTGCTTGGATAAGAACTCAAAAGCAGAACACAACATATTTGATGATGAAAATCAGGTTTTTTTTTCAATAATTGTGAGTTAAGCTGGTGACATCCGGAAAAAAAAACATATGTAACAATTCTCCAGGTTTTGGTAGATGTTTTGCCGTTTTTCCACCTGGAGGTGTCTAGTCCATGGGGGGGTAGCCCTTAAAAATCTGTCAACTCATAGGACATTCTAGTATTGAAACAACGTGAAACAACCATGGTGACTTGGGGATCGACTTACCTGACATCCATGGCATCATGGGCTTGGGCCGAGCCTCTCGCCTAACCCAGGCACATTTGCCAGGTCTACAAAGCTTACCGTTACAAGGCGGGCATTTGCTCGGGCCAAGGGTTATGGTATAAATGGACCATAGAAAATAGATGGTTTACCTACAAAAATAATGATTTTCAATAGCCATTTTAGTTTAACAGAGGGCACCATTATATAATATGTGTATATATATATTTATATATATAATTATATATATATAATTATATATATATATATGAATATGTATACACATGCATACAGATCATCACAAGTAATAAAAAACATGTAATCTACGCACAACCTCACTAACTAGAGGTATACTTACCATAAACCAATATATATATATATATATATATAACACCTATAGATACGCTGCTTATCTATGTAGGGAGGCACCAGCTCGTACTTACGGACCCACAAGAATGGACGTGTTTCCTCTACATCCTATAATTCAACCAATGGTCAACTGGTGATTTATAGTTGGTGGTTACTTATTCGGGGCGGAATAAGTACCGTACAGTCACAGCCTGTGTTGTACGGGGATCCTGAAATTCCAGACCACCAACCCACACCACCACTTAAAACTCACTTGTTTCATTACCCCGTTGGTAGACTAATGTGGTTGCTGTGTTTTTCCTTCGTTTGCAAGGCACTTTTCTTTTTCCTGGACATATTTCAAAGACCGGCGGTGATTTGGTGCGTTGGGAGTTTCTGGCCTTTCAAACCAGCAAGCCAAACCACAAGTGAATGAATTTGACAATTACAGGAAGGACCCCCTATTCACAAATTAGTTTGTAACCCGGCCACAAACCCGTTACAATGATAAATATCCTTACCTTACTCTCAGGAGCTCCTGTTGTGGCACTGCCCAGGCCGTCGCAAAAGTGTGCGGACTTTGGGTTCCGCAGTACTTGTGTCGTGGTTCGGCCATTCTGAGCTCCTTGGACGAGCTCGTGAAAAGCGTTGTATGCTCACTTTGTGGCCACAGGCCACAGAGGCCATCCATGTAGATTTGTTTACTATGCAAAACAGACCATGTTGTGTAAACGAACGGGATATTAATATACATCAGTTATATATATGTATACTTCTATACCTGTACGTGACATAGCCGCACATTTGGTCGCGTAAAACATTGCGCTTGCATGCATTGTGTGCATGTCTTTGTGCGCTTTCACAGTGTGGAATGCAACGAGTGAATCCATATTTGCCTGGTCGATTCACCAGACCATGGCACTTCCTATGATAACCCCCTTCCCAGATGATGGAGCCTGAAAATGAACAGATTCAGATAGATTCAGTATCAAACCAGGTTTTCCGGTAATCAGGATATTGAAGGGGAAGTGAACAGTAGTGATTTGTCCCTCTAACCGTTAGCAGAGCCCTTCTTTTTTCACCAAGGATATACTATGATATACCGCCATCCATTGCCATCCAGTGCCCAAAATTCAGGTTTTCTGATCATGGTTGACTTGCTGTGCATGTTGACCGTGCTCACCCCAAGGGAATGGAGCTGGGGGAGCTGGTCGTGCTTCAAAAGCAGCAATTCTTACGTTGCATGTTGTTGCCACGGCCCTACGATAATCAGCGGATTGTCCTTAGTGACACATATAGAGAACTATGCACTTGTTGGATCAACGGTTTTTTTTTGAGCCATGGCAGTTTTGGTGAGTGCCACTTTCACCAATTACTAATGTTTCTTTTTGAATGCAACCTTCCACTAGGAAAAGAAACATTTCTAGGGCTACCATCCCTAGAACTGTGAACCAGGCATGTGTTGAATGGCGCTGTTTTCAGAGATTGGGAAGGCTTCCATTTAGTTTGGGGATTTGCCATTGGGTTTGATTCCGGGAAGGAATTGGTTTAAGTTCCTTCATCATTGTACAAATATGCATCTAAGACTGATCATCTAAGTAAGTACTTATATGATCTTATATGCAATCAACATCTTGCTAATAGATACCATAATATCATCATATCAATCATATCCTCCAAAAGATCCCCACGATTCCATGTCCAACAAAAAAAAAACAGGATTTTCACTGTGCGCCCGAGGTGGAACCCATGGTCCATTGTTTGGGCCAATCGGAACCTCAGGCCTCGAGTCCTCGGCATCTCCTCTAGCCGTCTAGCCCATTGGGTCCAAATATTAGTGCAAATGTGGATGGAAATTCGAATTATAAGTTATAGATAGATAGATAGATATATATATACAATATATAAGTAATTATGAGGTTCGATGGGGTTTGAGACTCAAAATCCTTCAACAGGCTGGTTATCAAATCTCAAACACGGAATGAAGAGATCGTGGAAATAATCGATTTTGGGTCTAACATGATTTAAAATATATTTAAATACCACCCAAAACGTGGGGACATACTTTAGTCAGGGATGGGGTGCTTTGCTAATCCATGCTAATTTAGTTTTGAAACTGGCCTTTGTTTATGATCCTCTTATGAACTGTGAGCAGTGTATAGTTCATTTGAACATGTTCTGTAGCTATATTAGGTTGCCAGATGCTACTCAAACCTGGCATTTCAAGATGGCTTGCTTGATTCATTGATGAATCACATGCATTCGTAGTATGAAACTATCACCATTGCATTGCATGTTTCCGAATATCATAGTTCCTCGTTTTTTTTAGGGAGGGCCCAGGGATGACCTACTGCATGACAATTATTGTTCCCTTGAGGCCGTGCTTGTGAAATGATAAACACATACACGCACACATACATATATATATATATATTTACATACACATATATGTACCCCATGGATCCAAGTAGCTTCTTAGGAAGTGTTTGGGGTATGATTTGGGGGGTTGAGTATCTTCTCAGGAGGTGTTTGGATCCATAGGGGTATATATTATAATAAAACTGGAATGACCTCCACTTGAACTAGTTCTGGGAGAGATCTTCGAAGTGGGATGTATCCGCCATGATTCTTACGTGTTATTACAGTTAGCTCCAGCATGGCTTCGCATGAAGAAAATGCACGTAGCATCCTAGCTCCTACCAGGAAAGTTGCAGAGGATTATCAGTCCATTAGTTTTGGAAATCCTGGGTGTCCCTGACATGGCTTTGGGGCACCACCTTGTATCTTGGCCAAATCAGGCTGTTAAATTTGAAGAGTCACACATCGCGGCAACAAAACAGTGGGCCAAATGAATAGGGATCCCACACATCTCATCAACAGTTTAAGACTTTAACTTGGAAATAGGTGTTACTGTATATATTTCTTTCGATTCTAATACATCAGCTTGGACATACTAGGATATATTGTAAGCAACTTGAGGTTATGGTGGGAAGTTTCACGGGGCTTACCAACAAAAATAACTGCTGGCTACCTTGGAGGCCAAATAACACCGACAGGTTTAGATAGAAATCGTTCGCTATCATGATGAGTTTAATTTGCGTTCAGATCTGAGTATGTAGTGGTTCAAAAGTTCGGCCATTTAAACCAGAATTTGCTTGGTGCTTTGAAACCCACACCAGGAGTCAGGAGGTCATTCCATGTTACCCATTGCGGAATTGATTTCTCGGACAATGTACGGGAACCACCCATTTTTTTCTCACAAAGAGCAGGTCAAAAGTTTTTTTTTTAGGAGTTCTGACTTTTTAACATCCTTTTTTGAAATTGTTATAAGATGTTATGAGTTATCATAGTTACTTCTATATACACTTATGGAATTATATATATATATGTATATACACACTTGGAATTACTTAAAGAAGTCATGGAAAGCCAGAATTACACCAGATGCTCCTAGGTTTTGACCTTTCCCACGTCGTACGCCACGTAGACGTCGCAGGGCGTGGTCTCCTTCCGCTGTGAGCAATGGACCGACGAAATGAGTCTCTTGGGCTGAAAAATCACTAGAGAATGCCAGTTTTTTTTGATGGTTCAATATAAGAGATATCTATGATATACATACATATATATATATATCTCTTTGATTGATAGATAGACAGATAGATAGATAGATAGATACTGTAGATGGATAGATAGATAGATAGATAGATAGATCATAGATCGATGGATAGATAGATAGATCGATGGATAGATAGATCGATAGATAGATAGATAGATCGATCGATAGATAGATATACATAAACATAAACATAAAGATTGGATCGGATTGCACTAGAGATTTTGACAGAGAGAGAGAGAGAGAGAGTCAGAGGGATAAACAGAAACTACAGATTGAAAATGCTTCGAACCAATCACCAATCGATCAGACATTGCCAAGCGCTTTGCTACGCATGTCGTAGCTCCGTAGCCTCGCGGAGCACACTGGCGCTTCGCTGTAGGCCTTTTGTACGAAATCTTTGTGGTCTTGGGTCTCTTCTTGTAACTGGCTCAGCAAAGAGGCAACCGCGGCCCAAGGATCACATGGGATAACCCAGCTACATGTGGATACCATTCGTCTATGGATGTATAAAGGGGCACGGTCTTGGCACAATTTACTGTATAGTCTAGTATCATCCTGGTTTCCAATGGTTTTCAAGACAGAAAAAGTTGTTTCTAGGATGTCATAGATGATATTTATATACATCTATTTCCGGTTCTGAATATGTCCATGTTTCCCACTTTTCGCGGCTATATTTTGGGCTGGCGAAAAAACATGGGAAGATGGGCTGGCTGTACCCCCTGGGGCTTAAAAGGTATGTGGTCCTCATCGTGGAGCTTGGAAGCATCTCCATCAAGTTCTCAGCAACTTTGCTGTAAAGAAATGGCCTTGGATAATCTACAGTTTGACCTTGAAAATAACATGTGAAAACGACTCTTCACAATCCATATTTCGCAGGGTCTATTATGATCTATTATGGTCAATTTACATGGGTCATTTTCATGCTTTCTGTGTGTCAACTTGTTGGTTTTCGATGTTTCCACTGCCCTTTTTCGCCATGTTTCTTCGCCATGTTACCCCAGCCGCACCGCAGGAGTATCGTGTGCTGTGCCTGCATGCCATGGAGCAGGTTGGTTCAAGTCCTTGGTCGAATAGGCTAGCTTTGCTTTTGGTGACTGACTGTGACGACATTTAGATACTTCCTTTGAGAAAATCTATATGGAATCTACATATATATATATATATACTGTATATATAAATTTATTTATATACTATGTGTTCATTTCTTGTGGGAGCCGCTTCAAAAAAAACAAACTGCTCTAACCCATCTTTGGACCAAGTTTACATACCATTTACCAACGGTTGATATGATTGGCATGTAAACTTGCTCCAAACACGGGTCAAGTAAATGACAATTTTGCATTCTCAAATTGACAAGCCATTCACCATGTAAGAGCCAGTTTCCAACCATTTACCAAACATCTTCATTTTGTTCCAGCCATTTACCCAAAAACTTTTTTGAAGTGCTTACAAACCATTTTTGCACTGATTCACCAACCATTCCAAATAACAGGTAAATGATAGCCACAAGGGGGGTTAATGGATGTAGATGGGTCATAAAAAAGGGTCATTACTGGGTCATAAAAAATGGCAAAATTTCGCGAATTGACCCCTCTATCTCTGGTGTTGTCGGACCACGGCTGCCACGGCTCCTCCGTGGTCAGGTCCTGCTCTGTTTTGGCGTGGTCTTCCTGACCATTTTGACCTTCGCCTTCGCTATCTCCGGCATGCCACGGGAGGTGCCACATGCCACGGGGGGAATAGAAACCATAGAGTTGAGATAGAACAGAACAGTTTCAATTCACTAGTACAACTATTTTAGGAATATTTTGTTTTTTTAATCTCTTTGGGAGTTGCCACATGTATATATATAATATTATAACTATCCGGTAACTATACCACCCAAACTCCTGAAAATTGCGATTGCAATGAGGAACTCCTGGATGAGAAAGCAGTGGACCAAATGGGGTGCTCCATTGATCAAACCCACTGGATGGTAGATCATGCCGTTGATGGTGACAAGGAACCCCAATGATTTACGGATTTGGGATATACACAGATTTGGCGCACAAAAGGAAACTCTAGCAGGATTGGTAACACCTGAAAATTGGATGAACTGAGTCGCGTGACCTACGTATATTTTGCCCAAAATGGTGAGAATATTGCGCAACAGCTGCAGAATCGAGGGTGTTGAAAGGATGTTTCTCCATGTTTCTCTACCCATTTTGTGAGGTCTTAGCTTTCGTTTTCCCACGCGTTCGATTTTTTGCGGTTCTTCATAAAGCTACTGCGTCAGGTGGGTCACCTCAGCAACTCTGCAGAGCCTTGGGCAAAGCTCAGCCCATGATGTTTAAACCGCGCTGCTGTTCAGGGGGAAATCCTCTTCTATGTCCACAATAAATTAAGTGCCTATAGTGACAGTAGTCAAGTTGCAAAGCATGCTTGGTAAAAAATGTCTTGTTTTGGTCGTTACTTTCTACCATTTTTGTTTGGGGGGTGCCTAGTGAAAAATAGGCTAATTTAAGCATCATACATCACATAGAAATCCTCATGTTGGTTGGTCTAATCCCAATTTCTGTTATATAATTAGAGGAAAAAAAACATGGAAAACATGTTGTTGAAGTGTTGCAACAAAAATCCTCAAATTGTGTGGGCGAAATCTAGGTCCTGCTGATCATCAGATCATCATATTCGCGTAGAAATCCCGTCGCTTCTGAAATGCCCAACCTTTTGGGTCAAATCTGTTAGTTTTTTTAGTTTTTGCGGGTCAACTCCCTATGTAACCCTTCACCAATGATTAACTAGTTTGGATGTCCACGATTCCCCTCGTAGATTATCACGAACTGGCACTGGGACCAGCAGCAGCAAATCATTGCTTCAAGGAAAATCTACAGGAAACCACCATATTTCATAGTAATTCCATGTAAATCCCATGGTTTCTGTTTTAGTAAATCCATTCAACAAAAAATCCTCAAATTGTGTGGGCGAAATCTAGGTCCTGCTGATCATCAGATCATCATATTCGCGTAGAAATCCCGTCGCTTCTGAAATGCCCAACCTTTTGGGTGATCAAATCTGTTAGTTTTTTTAGTTTTTGCGGGTCAACTCCCTATGTAACCCTTCACCAATGATTAACTAGTTTGGATGTCCAGGATTCCCCTCGTAGATTATCACGAACTGGCACTGGGACCAGCAGCAGCAAATCATTGCTTCAAGGAAAATCTACAGGAAACCACCATATTTCATAGTAATTCCATGTAAATCCCATGGTTTCTGTTTTAGTAAATCCATTCAAACATCTTCAAACCAATCCATTGATCAAGCAATTCTCCTCATATTGTTGATAATAGCTAAACCATGTCAAAGCCAATTTGTTGATGCTATCTACCCCCATTGCACCCATTGGTACAGCATGTTCGCTTGGTGAATCTCCACAACGTCCGCCGAGGAATGGGAGGACGTCGCGGCCATCCTGAGCACCTTGATCCGCTTGGCCTTCGGCGCCATGGACTTGGCATCTTGGCGAAAGCGATCGGAGCGACAGATCGGATTCCCGTGATTGCCATAAGATACCTCAGTGATATAGGGGTTTATACTTGTTTATAAACATGTAATGTATCTATATCATGTTATATCCAGTGATATATGGGTTTATATGTAATGTATCATGTATCCACTTGCCGATATTTGTAGATCATGAAACTAAGGGAAACCCTTATATGTCCAAAAAAATGTTATTTTACGAGTGAAAGCGGCGGCTTTCCTTCGATCAGGACCTCACGCTGCGACGTCACTGGAATGATGGCTTTGTTTTTGCTCCTTTAGGGTTAGTGAATTATATAGTGTAATTCAGCCAGTAATCATAATAAACATCCCCCAAAATCACCATGGTTGCAAAAGGGATTGGAATTTGGAACCATACTATGAGAGTGTTTAATAATTTACTGTAATATGAATGGGGGATGGAATACTGTATATGATTTTAACTGCTATTTGTGTCTGTTTGAACATATATAGTTGCCCGTAAATCCATTGTTTATTCATCATGTCACCTTGCTAAAATTGAGGTATACCCCATGTTCAGAAACACATTTTAACCATCAAAGGTTGTTTTGTTAACATATGGGAAATATGTGTTTTTCACCGACCAACCTTAAATAGCGGGGTTGTATCACTAGCATAGTGGGGGTACAACTCTATAGTCTATAACCATGAAAACACTGGATATATAGCCAGGCTTGCGTGCACATCAGAGACAAAACTAATGGGTCAAAGAATTGGATGATTTTTTTGGGAAACATCGGGTTTGACTCTAACAACATGTGGAACATGAACCATCAAAACAAGTTTTTAACCAACTGGCAATGGGTACTTTGGTGATCTGTCGTTCTACTTTTTTTTGCTCCACAAATGGGGATACATGTGCGCTACTGGAATCAGCAAAAAACATATCAGGCTGTTCCATGTTTGGTACCTTCATGAAAACTCACTCCAGACATGTATATAGCTTGGCCTCAATGTAGCAGTCAAATTTGGTATCGTAAATAGACTTAGATAATGAAACACACACACATATATATATATGTATGTATATTAATAATTATATATATATCATATAATACCCGGTAATTATTTATTTAGTTATTTCGTTGTAAATTCGCGAGCGATCGGTGTATGTTTTTCTGGTGGTTTTTGAATTTCCCATCAACCCAGGGGGTCATCGAACAAGTTTGCGCTGAAAGTCCCTTGCTGATCGTTGTCCCTTGGGCGCGTGGAGCTGCGGCGGTTGCGCTTTTCGGGGTTCGCTGGTGACTGTCTCCCAAGATAATGGGTTCTTTGGAACTAGAAATGAGAGAACAAGAAATCAGAGGATCCCCAGCATTTTTGGTATACTTGTTACAGTACCATTTTGTTGTTTAAGAATATTGAAGATATCAATAGATATCAATAGATATCATGATCAATACTTTGTTTGAGGGTCAAGGTGGGAAGTGTGGTGGACAAAGCGGAAATAGCACATCCAACATGGGATCATTGAAGCCATGGCAGTTGGGAGATCCATAGTGGACTTCCATAGTGGGATTCATAGACCCTCAATTTCTAATACAATTCTGCATATGTAACTCTAAATGTTCCCATTCTGAACATTAAAGATATTAACGCGTTTCAATGTGTGAGTTGGTTGCTTGGAGTAACAACGGTACACCCATTTTTTTTCCAGCAGTTCAGGTGATCGTCCTCTTCATGATGCTGGTGTACAGTTTCTTTTTCAATCTCCTGGTCTCGCCACCTGGTGGCACTGCCCTGGTGTCGTTCCCAAAATAAGCCACCATAAATGGCTTGGAGATGCTTGGATACCATCCCAAATGGTAGGTTTATGGCAGGGTTGCCCACATTTTACTCGTTGACATCAGGAACTTGCTTGCACGGGCCAGGTCCCCGGACCTGGCTGACGGCCACTCCTTGGACCAAATAGATGGACCAACCGTTCTGAATTTCTTTAGAAGTGCTAGCCATCTAGTTACTACCCTCTGGTAAACTAACATTTTACTATGGAAAATCACCATTTTCAATGGGAAAACTCACTATAAATGGCCATGTTCAATAGCTATGTTAAATCACCAGAGGGTATAATTACAGTATCTATCATTTTCCTAAAGACATGAGACCACTTAAAGAAACTGCCCAAATTCATCGACCAGAATCTATCGCGGTTTTTGAGGCGGTGATGCATTTTGTTGCCAAGGCAATTCTGCGGAGTCTACACTTCTCTCGCAGCGGACATCAAGGGCCATGCGAGGTCCAGCAGCGTAGCACTTGTTGGTTGCCACGTCTCTGAAAAGAGAAGTGGTTATATACAGGTATTGACCCATCAACCCTTGTATTTTTAATTGCTCAACTGGGAATAAACTTGAGGATACAATGGGAATATATTTGTGGTAAACTTGAGGACGCAATGAGGTAAACGCAGTAATAAAGATAATAAAGCTATCATTTGGGGATGGTTTGTTTATTTATACCACCCATTTATGGTGATGTTAGGGATGGTTATGGCTTTGTGGTTTTGGGTTTACCACATTAGATGCAATAATAAACCATTCCCTTATTATTGAACACACCACCAGAAACCATGGTGTAGGGGATCTACACATATTTGGGACCATTTTAGAGGGTGTTTAATAATGTTAAGTTAGTAATGTATTTCATATTAAGGGGATGGGATTAACCATACCCAATACCCCAACAAACATTGGAAACGGCTCGACACGGCTTGTAGCTGTGCGTCCTTCTCCCATCCCGAAACGCTCAAGATGTTGCTTCCGGGCGACGACAGGGGTTTTTGCACGTAACTGTTTTTCCATCCCTTCTCGGGGAATGCTGGGGTTCCCCTATGCAAGAAGATGGTGCCACATGAGCCACGTTCTAAACCCTTGTGTTCATGTTAAGCAAGGGGCCCCTTGTAGGGGTGTGGCGTAAGCAAAACTGTGGTGCGCGTAAGCCAGCGTAAGCTCCGCGTAAGAAAAGATATGCGCGTAAGCAAAACCTGTGCGCGCGTAAGCAAAACGTAAGCAATGGCGTAAGCATTTCCTTATTTGGTGCCAGGATGTACGACATTTAGAACATGGCTCACATGGACACGTTTGATTATTTTTGTTTAGTCTATTATATGTATGTATATACATATATATATATTTATATATATGCACAATACACATCATACATTATCATATATCACTCAAGTGGGTACACTATTATATCATTATATCATATTTGTTATTTATCAAAGCATGACTGTGTATAATATACATGCTCTCATGGAAATGGAGCACCCTGAGAACTTCATCCCCATACGGCCCATACGTTGCTGTCTTGGAAGTGGGAATGGTTCCCGCAGACTGTAAATATTGTAGGACCCTGAAGGCTTGAAAAGAAAATGATGCATAGAAAGATTCAAGTATCAGACAGTATCAGACTGGTTTAGCAACGTTCCATTGCCAAAATGTGCACTTTTTCAGCTGAGAAAGGGTTGTTTTTTTTTGTCACAGGCTTGCGCGAGGAGAAATCATCATCGAGACCTTCAAGGCTGGAACGGACCAGAATTCTTCGGTCCGCGAGGTGAAGGGTTGATGAATTTTCCATACTTGGGGATACTTGGGGTGCATCCCAGCTAGTGGTTCATGATTAACTTAATTAACATTTAATTAACCATATTTTACTCCAGTTGTATCATGTTATATATATATATATACAGTAGTATAGATAGAGAATGTATCCAGTTATCTGGTGGTTTTAGAATGTTTTAGACCGCTTACTTCCCGGGCTGCGCATCCTTTTTTTCAAGTGACGACATGTGGATCCAACGACCTCCAGCGTCCTGGTGCCCCGGGATTCCACCAGGTGGCCCCTTTTAAACGGTCGCCGCCCGGCTAGGCCGTGAAACTGACCAGATGGCAGAAATTCATGAACTCTTTGCATTTGGACCAGAAGGTGGACTTTGAACAAGGTCCCTTTTTGGGTTTTTTTTCAGGTCCCGTCGGGTTTTTTCAGGGTCATCAGGGTCTCCCAGGGTCGGGTCTTGATGGGCAAATTTAGGCGCACAAGCTTTGCCTGAAAGAATCGGAGAATGCGCACCACTCTCTGCCGGGAATGTCATCCTCAGACCTCAGAAGTGCGCTTTCTGGATGTTTGTTTCTGTATATTTGGTAACTATGCAACTTGATATGCATAATTTAATTGTGATACGCAGTTTCAAGGCGCGAAGATTTTAAGGTCCAAGTATGATTGTCAATATGGTATTGAATCCTGAGATATCCTGAGACTAAGCTGCCTCCAGTTATCAACCAAATGGGGGTCATGTTGCATCATCCCAAATAGGGGCACCGTGGTGCCGCACAACAAACCACAAATTGGAGGGTTGTTTTTTTTTTTGTTTTTATGTTTTTTTGTTTGATCATCATTCTTCCATTAGCTCATATTAACCCATACTTTCCCGTAATTGTCACATAGTTGTCCCATATTTTTTGTTTTTTCACTTCATCGGATATATGATATATGTGAACAACTATGCGTGATAACATGAGACAATTATGTGTTAATTAGGTCAAATAAACAACTATGTTATCCCATAATTATCCAGTTAGATTTACAGTGCGATGGTTTACCGCGTTACTGCCCATGGGGAACCTGATCTGGCAGGTGACATTGGCTTGGCTGGAGGCAAAGTGGGATATATGATGGGTTACTCGGGGGTGCAGTCGGAGTTATTAGATGTTATTAGTGGGTATAACTATGGTAATAACCACCACACGTTGGAATATATGATGTATATAATATATATATATATATATAATATATAATATATATATACATCATATATTCCCTGGAACTAAAATTAAACCACTCATTCACGGAACCGCACCCACAAGGGAACTTCCAGGAGCATCCAAGTGGATGTCTTTTCTTCCGACTGGTTGCTTGATAAATAGACGAGCCGCCCTCATTTTTACGCAAAAAAGAACATAGTAAGTGAATCATGAGGATGAATGGTATACCTAAGCGGGACCTTATTGTTCCCCGGAGGACATCATTGCTTGGCGGCAAATCCCAAGAATCGCAGATGGCTGGCAACAAATGAATATATTACTGTATGTATCCGCAATATAACGTATATCTATTTCTTGTTCTCCTTTTGCATACAGTTATGTACTTTACATATTACATCGGTATAAACATAGATTTGCAGCTAGGGATGTTCAGTAGGGTCATCAGATGAATGGGTTGCAACACAATATGCTTTGATTCTACAAGATAATGCACAATCATAGCTTTTATTTCCGAAATATAGAAAGGATATCATGATGTCACATTCCGTGAGTTGACGGGAAAGAACTCCAGGAAGCCCATGTAATCCCATGTCATGTTGTAAATTTTCCATTGGTAAAATCTGTCCTTTGAGTTTATATGATTGTATATTCACCCGTTTATTTGCTTATTTAGTTGGTTTCTGCCTTTATTCCTATTCATTGACCAGCATGTTGGAATATTCACAGTTTCAAAAGCTAAAGTCTTTCTTTTTATGTTCCATTTGCCTATTCCCAAATCGGGGTGCTCCAAATAGAGGCCTTCGTGTAGACAGCCCTGTGTCAGGTATTAAGACCTTCGAGCCAGCCCTGGCACATCCGGTGGCAAAGGACAGGCAGTGCGTGGCAGTCAACATGACCACCATGTGATGATTGGAGAAGTTGCATGGGTTGAATGATGTTGAATGCCTATATGTTTTTTCTCTTTGACTGGGCTGACTGGTTGTCCTGATTTTTATTAACCCCGATTATCATTTTTAGAGTAATTAGCGCCCAACCTTTTTTGATGCGTCTCAGTTTGTTTTTACAGCTTTTTTTTTTTTGCATTTGGTTGTCTAGATCACTAATGTTCCTTCCCAGGTAGGTTTGCGCACGGGTTGCCGCAAATTTGCCGGGTCTGCCAGGTTGTTGTTTCCATTTTCATAGAGACTTAGCTGTTGTATCCACCATCAAGTTGGGACAAATTTCCAAATTCCAGAAGGGACCCGGGGACGTTGCGATTTGGCTCAACATTGCCTAGGTGAACTGCCAGTTTTACCGGTAAGTCCACATGGCAATGCAAAATCCCCTGTAAAATGGATGTCGTACTAAGAACAACATATTTTGATGGTGGAATTGCCAGCACGCCATGTTTGATTGCCAGAGGGTATCCCAAAGAGGGGTCCCGCAGATGGGTACCTTGATTTACCCGTAATCAGCTCCATGGCTGACATCATGATGAACCAGTGGCATGTTCCGGAATTTCGCCATCAATAAATTGTTGCTTCCCCAAGTTGGGAACTCCGGAAACACCCTACACTAGTCAATCTTTGGTAAAGAATCCTATGTTTTGCAGGGTTACAAGGTGGGACCCCCTAGATAGCTAAGTTATGCTAAGTTGATCTAAGTTGATGATGTTACAATTTGGTCAAGTAATGTCAGGTAGGTAAAAATGGTGAACATATAGTGAACATATCCATAGTCAATGGGGATTATAAATCAAAAAACAGTAATGGAGGTCAAACAATGCCATAAACCATCCCCCAATCATCACAATTTTTATTGGTGGTATGTAGAAACCATTCCCAGTCATGGGTGGTTTATGGATGTTTATGGTATTGTTTTACCTACAACTTGCGGGCCCACCTTGCAAAATCCAGGACCAGATCATCCGCTTTGGTGGTCGTACGGAAGGACCTAAATTGGGGCCTTGGAAGTCGGGGACCGGGGACACCACACGTTTTCTAGCCAGTAAAATAGCTATGAAGGCCTATTGATAGATGATATGGGGATAGCTATTGATAGATGATAAATAGCTATTTTACTGGCTAGAAAACATAGGTAAATAGCTATTTTTTAGCAATTTTCTAGCCAGGTAAATAGCTATTGATAGATGATATATAGATGATTTACCTGTTGAACATGGTTTTAGATTTCCAGAGGCTAAGCAGCTAAGCCATGGGATGTTTTGATGCTTAAAGTTGGGTCCCAACTTTTGGGCCAACCAGAATCAGGACTAAGAACCCTGAAATGGCAATTCCTGTCACTTCCTTCATTTACCAGCTACCATCTGGTTCTTTAACATAGCCATGGAAAATCACAATTTTTAATAGGTAAACCATCTATAAATGGGCCATTTTCCATGGCTATGTTGAATAACCATAGGGTACATCCAGTTACATCCACTTACAAAGTGATAGGATGTGATAGGAATAGCATGGAATAACTAACATTAACTAACCAGATCCGGAAAGATCCTCCGTGTTGGCTCCGTGTAGTTTCTGGCTCCGTGTTGTTTAACAAGGCTCCTTCTGGGCGGGCCACCTGCTCGCCCTCAGCCTGCGGAGCCTGCGGAGCCTGCGGAGCAATGTGTTCCCTTTTAAGTGTACACAGTGTAGATGTACACTAGTTAAGGACACAGATGACTTTAGATGTGTAAGATGTGTAAGCTTTTAAGCAGCTGAAGTGCTTGGTTTTGAGATGTTTTGAGAGACATGTTGCGGTTTTGGATTCAAGTTTCAGTTTCAACTATAGTAATTGGTCACTAGTTATTGGGAGTTTACTGTTGTATCTGATTGGTCAGCAGCGTCCAGCTTGGCATCGGCAGTCGCCAGGAACAGCTAAACTCTTTTCCCATTTTCAACTACGTATATACTATTATACAGGGGTAATATATAGCTAATATCTCCAACTAACTGGTGTTCAAATTGTTCAATGTCATCCCAGTCGTGAAGGGCATGGCACTGTGAAACTCCCTGCAAATGGAGGTTCTTAATGGTATAATCATCAAACTAAACAGAGGATTTCCCAGCAAACCATCTTTGGTAACCGTAGGCTCCTCAAAAATTCTGCTGCTAGGTATATATCATCGTAGTATTATCATAGTTATAGGCTGCCCTTGGGGGTATTATATCATACTATATCAATCATAGTTATAGGATGTTATAGGATGTTATAGGTGCTCAAAAACCCATTTCGCTTCTTCGCCGGTTAAACCCCGTGGCAAAACCCCACCAGAAAAACGAAGCCTTCGGCTGCAGCTCCGTGAGGACATTTGCCTTGGCCAGAGAAAAACGAAGCCGAGGAGCACAGCATTGAGAGGCGACCCGATGGGCCCGATGGGGGCATGGGGGGGCATGGTATGGCATGGTGAGACGACGAAAAGCTGAGCCAAACCAGCGGTTTGGGATGCGCCAAATGGATGACTTTTATAAATTTTATAAGGGAAAATCCGACTAAAATGGATGATTTGGGTGTACTGGTTCTCTTATTTTAGAAAAGCCTCATTTAGAATAGTAATGAGAATATCATGGGAAAATCGAACCTCCTAAAGTATTACTGGGATTATAATGGGATATAGTGGGAGTATAATGGGAATATATATATATATATACGCACATGAAGATAACCACCATATCAAACTGGCAAACGGGCTTATGATATCTTATGATCTTATTTAAGTGATGTGTTTCGCCTTAGTTGCAGGAGTTATTTCATGCCATTTATAACTGTTAAGGGCTATATTTGTGGGAATATCATGGGAAGATAGACCGGGAATACAACGGGAACACGGATATATATATATATATATATATTATGTGTGTGTAGAAGTAAATCTATATACGTATACAACCCAGAATATGACACACTTAACGGAGATTCAAATTGTTCTTTCAACCCTTGGGCTGTTCAATTCGTGCATTTTGGGCTCCAAAGACTGACCCGTCTCATGTTGTTGATTTCACAGATCCGACAGATAAAGTTTGGTGAAAACACCTCAAATTAGAGATGAGTTTTGTGTTACCCTTGGTAATTTGACGGCAAAATCACCATGTTTTGAAAGTTCAGTAAATGAGGTTCCGTTTCTCCAGAATTTCACCATGACATGCTTCAATAACCAGAGGTAAACAGCATAACTGGGCTGTTTTTCATAAGCTGCTTACATTCCCTGCCTCCGGCGGCTCCGACTCAGCCAGGACTATCCAGAGGACGCCGCTTGGCGAGCCCATCACTAGATTAACCTTGGATGGGTAGAAACTAATCCTTCAGTGGTATCAATGGGATTATCTACGTTCACCAGCTAAGTTTTGTTTTTGGCATAGTATCGAAGATTGGCAATGTTTAGGTGTATGTACTGTATGTACTGAGTTAGACTTTTTCTATGTGTCCCCTTCTTGTATTTGGGGTGGTCAGGGAGCAGGCCTGTTGGTGATCTTCATTCGCAGGTGAGCCCAGGTGAGCATGATTCCAGTTCACAAGTTCTTGTAGGATGGCCCAAGCACCAGTTTTTCCATCTTACCCTAGACCTAGACTCAATTTGGAAGCAGTGGGCCTGTTTTACTTGGAAGACTATCGCACAAACATATCCAGTTAGAAGTAGTTACTTTTTTGTCAACCAGTACCTTTGGTTCCAATACACCTGTTCGCCTTCCTGCAACCAAGTCAACGCAACCACCCAAGTTTCGCTCATTTTCGCTCATTGGTTGTTTGGACTCTGGTGACACATACAATATGGCACATGAATCGATGATCGAGTCATGGGTCAAGCTGGTTGAGTTCATACAAATATATCGTGTGATTATATATATATATATATATATTGCCATTGCCCTTTCCATGACATTTTTGACATCGTGCCGAGGATTCAAAAAACGCTTCACAAGATGTTGGGCGGCAAGGGAAACAAGTTCGGAAGCAGCCTTGGCACCAGCGACCACGATTCGCCGCTCGATCTTTTGATGTTTGAAGGTGCTGGGCGGCTAGGGAAAATTGATGGCAATCAAGATATCTTAAGATAATTTCAGATAATTACATATAATATATTTTATTATATTTATACATATATATATATACACCCTTTGGTAATCAAACATGGCAATGGGAAATCCTGCAGGCGTTTTAGATGGGAACATGATCAATGGATATCAATGGTGGATTTTCCGGAAACCCATGGTTTTCTCTTATTACAGGTAGGGGATTTGGGTGAAAGCCTGAATTTTCAGACCTTGTTTTTTGTTGCATCCGCGACACTGGGACCGGGATTTTGAACGACCCGCTGCAAGAGTGGAAATGCAGCTAATATCCAAAATCACAGCTCGAGCCCTTTACAGGTAATTTTAGCAGATCAAGTATCATCAAGCGAATCAAGCTCAGTAAATGGAGCGCCTAAAATGTTGTCATTTGATGCCACTTGAGCAGCTTACATCTAACAGCAATTGGGCTTCTCCACAAAGCTCTGTTCATCAACTCAAGTGGGGTGGGGCCTGCCCAGGAGCAGCCATACAGGAGGAAACAACAGCGTGCACAGCAGTGAACATTGAGCCACGATTTGACACCTTCCAGCCTGCCCCGCTTCAAAAGAGCAATACACAAGTAACACATGTGAAAAGCCAAGTCAATATACTGTCAAGGTGTTAAAGACCTTTGCCGCATCGAAGTTTGTTGGTTTTCGGATCAATCTACCAGAAGCAGAGGAGTGTTGGCTTGGAAATTCATTTGATGGCACAGCATTTGCAAAGATAAACGGTGAGCATTCTGCTATCCAACCCGTTGTTTCGTAAAAAAAAGTTGTACAACGTTGTAGTGGTAGCTTGGAAACAGAAACCATTTTTTTTAATTCTAGACTATCACTAATGTGGCAAGCCCAATACTAAACACATTGTGTGTGTGGTCCTTGTATATTACCCTAAATACTAAAATTGTCACTGTTCCGGCTGACTTGTCATTATGTTCCCTATAGCTAATCAGGCGCCTTGCAATGTTGTAAGATAGGCTGTGTGTATCCCAGTGAATCATGATTGTTTCGGGTTAACTTGGTCGCTGGTTGGCTTATGTTGGCTTAGTGGTTTGAAATCTCTGAGGTTCAAACATATTCGGGATGATGCTCCCCAATGACAAAAACGTTCTTTTCTCAGATGGGTTGGAAACCATTGGAAACCATTGGAAACCATTGGAAACCACTAACCAGTAGGCAATCAAGAAATGGAACCAAGACATTGACGGAGAGATATGGCGTTGGGAACTCACCGGATGTCTTGACAGATGTTTGTGCTTTGGTTGCGGCCGGCAACCGGCATAAGCCATTGGAGAGTATTTATACAGCCTTGCCCGACGAGAGTCAACAATTTGAACTCAAACTCGAAGAGACGCAACGTTTGGCCGTGCGTTGTTCATAGGCGTTGAGAAACATTCCGCTGAGCTGAGCAAGTGGGCTTGTGGCGACAAAACACTTGGTGTTTTGATCAGCCATTACATGGAATGACACCGCCATTAGAATCAGAAATCAATTTGGTTTGAGTACATGTTTGTTTGGTTGGTCAGTGTATCATTGATTTGCATTTCAATTGGGGGAAACTATTTTCTGAGTTGCATATATATATAATATTTATATATAATATACTTTTGGTATCATGAGCTGAGTTACATTATACATATTTATATCCATTTACATAAACATATTACTATGTATCCTCCCACCCATAAATATATAGGCATATGATATATATATACACATACATACATATATATACATATATATATATTACACTGAAAATTAATTTACTATATATACACACGTATATATATATATATATTTTGTATCGTTATATTTCATAATAACATTAGTTTGGTGCATTCGTCCGCTTGAACTACATTAAGTTTTCTGACCCGGAAACTTGTGGCAAAAGTGTTGTGGAACGGTTTTCTGAAAGCATTGAATAGTAAAAGTAGAATTGCTGATAGCCTTCAACAGTTGCTTCATGCTGTTTTCTACGGCAATTCTGTGGATTCAGAACATTCCGCAAACGTCGGCTGTTGGATTGTGATGGTGATGTACCTGTGGGAGATCTAACTCTATCCCAGCCATGCTCGTAGATACTCATCACCTCCAAACAGGTAGCTTCCTGCCATCTTTTGGATATGCTGTTCCATCCCTTATGGGGGTTTCCTAAAATGGAGGTACCCAAAAATGAATGTTTTATCAGGGAAATTCCCATTAAAATTGATGATATGGATGATTTTCATCGTTTCTGGTCATTCTTCTCATTAGAATTGCCATGACTTTCCGTTTTTTCAAAGGGCTCTCCCGGTATTGGATTTACTCGCTTTGGGGGGATGCAACCGACAATTCCGAAACAAGTAGGGCGATGATACGTTTTAGTAACTGGTGAAGAACCACAAGTTATAACATGATGTTACGATTATGTGATGGTCCATAACTATTTTAGTTATAGGCTATAACCAAGTGATGGTCCGATACAAATTACTTTACTTCGTGTGATCCCCACCATGACATTTATACATTTTCTTACTGGCAAATCTTCTGGCATTCTATCTGACATATCTTCTGACATTCTATTTGGCATTCTATCTGGCATATCTTCTGGCATATGATCTGGCATATCTTCTGGCATATCTTCTGGCATTCTATCTGGCAAATCTTCTGGCATTCTATCTGGCATATCTTCTGGCATTCTATCTGACATATCTTCTGGCATTCTATCTGGCATATCTTCTGGCATATATTCTGACATATCTTCTGGCATTCTATCTGACATATCTTCTGGCATATATTCTGACATATCTTCTGGCATATCTTCTGGCATATCTTCTGGCATATCTTCTGACATATCTATCTGGCATATCTTCTGGCATATTTTCTGGCATTCTATCTGGCAAATCTTCTGGCATTCTATCTGGCATTCTATCTGGCATATCTTCTGGCATATTTCTGACATATCTTCTGGCATTCTATCTGGCATATCTTCTGGCATATCTTCTGGCATATCTTCTGACATTCTATCTGGCAAATCTTCTGGCACATCTTCTGACATTTAATCTTCCTACATGAGGTCCGGCAGGGAACACTTGGCATGGATACTCGCGGTTGAGGTCCGGCAGGGAACACTGGGCGCGGATGGTCGTGGTTGAGGTCCGGCAGGGAACACTGGGCGCGGATGGTCGTGGTTGAGGTCCGGCAGGGAACACTGGGCGTGGATGGTCGTGGTTGAGGTCCGGCAGGGAACACTGGGCGTGGATGGTCGTGGTTGAGGTCCGGCAGGGAACACTGGGCGTGGATGGTCTGGTTGAGGTCCGGCAGGGAACACTGGGCGTGGATGGTCGTGGTTGAGGTCCGGCAGAGAACACTGTGGATCGCGGGTCGCAGTTGAGCAAGGACGACGAGGACGACGAGGAGGACGAGGAGGAGGAGGAGAGGAGGACGAGGCAGGAGGAGGCGGAGGACGAGGAGGAGAAGGAGGAGGAGAAGGAGGAGGAGGACGAGGAGGCAACTGACATAAAATCTAACAACCCTCACCTGGCAGGTGGGGAAAAAAATCTAACATGATATCGCCTATTTTTTTGTATGGGACCATCCACTGTGGATTTGCTGGGGCCAGTTCCAAACTGGGATCACTCCACATATCTGGAGGATGGGACCATTGGAAATGGACCAATGGATTGAACAAAACAACCCAGGTTTCATGTAGATGATGTAGATGTTCCTTTAAACCAACCCAATTTATATTGAGATTTCATATATTTTATCACGTGAATCCTAAAGTGCCAAGTGAAATTCGCCCAAGAAGCCCTGGATTTGGATTTGAAGAATTTGGTGCCACCTTGGCAGTTTGAATTTAGTGCTTTCCAGTGTCCCGCCGTTGTGAATTCCTCCATGCAGCATTTATTGAAGCATATTCTATATGTACAAAAGGCAGCTGTTGTAAACATGACCTGGAGGTCCAGACTTGATTCGCCCGGCGATCTGGAAAGCGACATTTTCGCTGCAACTGCGTTCTATCGGTTTCGTTCCGCCAATGTCAGACAATGAAACCTGCCTGCAGTACTGTACACTTTTTGCCGTCACATGTTGTGGTAATAAAAAGTCCGACACACGCTACATTCACAACTCCAAAAAAAGTATTTAAGCCCCTGGAGTGGCTGGCATCACGCCGAATCTCCTATGTTTGAAGGAGTTGGGGGAGATTTGGATCTCCTTTGGGCGTTGTGGAGGAACCTCTGAGCTCTAGAACTCCCTCGGCAAATCTAACCGCACAAATTTGAGATTCGATATTAAATTGATAATTTAAATCGGCAGATGGCCCTAGTGTCAATTTTTAGCTGTTCCAATATGTTCCAATGGATCCATATATATATATATATATGTGTATATATATAATATTATACATATACATTTAATCCATTCGTAATCCATATATACATATATATATATATATATATTTATATTTCCGCAATCCTTTAAATCAATTTTCTATATATGGTGCCTGTTTTCCAGGTCGTTTCACATTCCTCCCATAACTGAGCCTACCCCTTGTGGGACAACCCGTTTTTTGAAGCGATGCGAGTAGGAATCTTTTGTATCCCGACGAGACCAATGTTTTCTTTATTTGTTGTTTGGGTAATACTATATAGATAGATAGATGTAGATATATAGATATATAGATAGACAGACAGACAGACAGATAGATAGATAAAGAAAGAGATAGAGATAGAGATAGAGATACGATATAGATACATATATAGATATACAGACGTATATTTATATATAGATAGAAAGATAAATAGATCAATAGATGGACAGACATGTATAGATAGAAATAGAAAGAAAGAAAGATAGATAGATAGATATAGGTATAAATATGTATTTGTTTTACATATTTAAAGATAGATAGACATAGGTATAGATACATATATAGATATCGACACATAGATAGATAGATAGATAGATAGAT